AGAGGAGGGATCGTTTTGGACACGGTTTCCCCATCTTGGACACGGGTTTCCCATCTTTTCCGGCTTCTGAGGCCGGATAAACGTGCGTTTTGAGCCGAACGCATCGTTAAAGGTGCGTTGACTTTGCCATCCCGCGCGGCCCGGCGGCTGCTCGGCTCCGTTTCCAGGCGGCGCGGCGACCTTTCCCCCAGTTTGTGCAGAGCAGGCTGTGGTCATGTGACGCCGGAGCGGAGCTGGGGGGAAGGGACCGGCCGGGCTGCTACACCGATGCGACCGTACGACGACGATCGCGAGCGTATAGCCACGTAGAGCTGCCGATTTGGAAAAATACCGACGGATTCCGGGCACTTCGGCCGAGAAAAAGAGGCTCCTGTGGTCCTCCGTTCCGCCAGGGGGAAGGCGTTTTGTTGACCTCCACAGCCGGAAATCAGCTGGTTATATCTAAAGGTTTTACATCTGTGCTAAGTTGATGCTTTTATTCATTTATTTTTGTAACTTTGTTAGGAAAATTATTAGTTCACTGTTTATTTAATGTGCAATTTTGTATGGCCAGAGAGTCATCTGGAATGAATTGATTATAGCCAGTGGTTTCATATTTGAATTCGTTGTAAGTGTCCCATAATGTACATCTGAGAGATTTCACTCCAGATGTGGTCTAATGATACAAATATAGCAGTATTTTTAGTTTATTTGGTTGCTTTGACATCTAGAGCAGCTTTCTAAAGGGCCATTCGTGACATTGCTATACACTGAACAGTTTCCATCTTTGTTTACTCTTTGTTTTTGTTTAGACCGGATCTGGTTTATGCAATTTCACCTGGCACTATTTGCATAACTTTGCTTCCGAATTGATAGGCAAAGAATTTATCCCCGGCCCTATCTGGCTACCTTTGCTCTGGAACCTATAAAGTGATTACATCACATTAAAACGAGTGTTTGCTCATTTGAGGTTTACAGGGGTGACCCAAAGGTGATCTGTTAGAGACTAGCGTCCAGTCTCTGTGCTTATAAAATATGAGATGCCGTTATAATAAGCGGTGGACAACAGTGGTACATCGCAGTCAGACGTCAGTTTAGATGACTTAACTTAATGCAAATGTCCAAAGAAAGTTTGTTACAGAGATTTGGGAAGATCTCTGTTAAATCTTAGCATTCTTATAAAAAAATCTCTTCATCCGACTAACTTTCCGAGATGCTTTAAAGCAGCCCGGTCAAGTCGTCTGGACAGGAGCAGCCGCTAACACCTGCGATCTGCTCTTTGTTGCCGCTCGTACCCGGCTGACTCCCTGACCCGGCTCTTTTCCTCCCTGCAGTGAGAGCCCCGCAGCAGCCACCATGGCAGAAGCTCACCAGGCGGTGGCCTTCCAGTTCACCGTCTCTCCCGATGGCATCGACCTGCACCTGTGCCACGAAGCCCTACGCCAGGTATACCTGTCCGGCCTCCACTCCTGGAAGAAAAGATTCATCCGCTTCAAGGTAAAAAAAAAAAAAGATAGAAACACAGTTGAGTTATGTGCAAGCAATCCAAGCTCTAGAAACTCTGATGAGTCCTCTGTTTGTGTTTTCAGCTGTTATAAGAGCTCCTGTAACTGTGTGTGTGTGTTTTTTTTTTTTTTATCCCATTGTTGCCCCACTGTAAATCTGTTTACTGAGCTATATTAACGCGCTGGCATTAGAAGGTCACTGTTCCCTTGCACAAACACCTACTCGTTACAGTAACCTTGATGTCTGTTCTTTGTGATCTAACCTCTGGCCCAGTTTTGTGTTTGCACACAGTCTGACTGAGTCATTCAAGCCTGAAGAGCCGGGAGCAGTTTTTATTTATTGATTTGTATGTGTGTATGTTTTTTTTTAAAGTGTTGTCTTTTGATTTGTGATGTTCCCTGACAACCCAGGAAAGCCTTTTATGAAATTTTTTGATACATTAGTTTCTTTCTGTGGCTCCCTCTGTTCCTTTTGTCACTCTGCTTTTGGCACACACCCTTTCTTTGCAGAATGGGGTGATGACTGGTGTGTACCCGGGCAGCCCGGGGGGGTTCATGGTGGTGGTGGTGTCCTACATGTCCTACAACAAGTACAAGCAGCTGGATCCATCCCTGGGGTTGATTGAAAAGTTAGGCCAACACTTACCCATCAGGTAATTCTTTGTCATGTGCTGTTTTAGCTTCATTCTCTCTCTCTCTAGATCCCGATTAGAAAATCATCCATTTTGGGTTCTGCCCAACAAACTGGAGTGAGGTGGAGGCTTAAAACAGGCCTAGAGTGGCCTAGCTCCTCAGAGTGAGCGCAAAGGCAAATAGCTTTGTCCTCTATGAGGGGGGCTAGCTGATAGCCACAGGAGCAAAAGAAATGATTAACCATGGTTAATAAAAGTCAGACCGATGAGTCGCAGCGTGCAGGGGACACCTCGTCCCAGACGTCCACGCCTTTTTGTTGCTCTTTGATGAGTACCTGATGAAAGCCGGCCTACTTTTCCTTGGAGGCTCGGCACCACTTCAGTTGTGGCGCGCTTCTGCACGTGTCAGTGTGATTGGTTGCTGCCGGTTTAATGGTTTATGGCGTCCTTGTTGACTTTGGACAGAGCCAGGTTTGGCATCTGTTGAATGACTATAATGGGTAATTATTTCCTGTCTTTTTGTAGTGACACACCCAAAGGTTGCACAGTGCCGCTGGTCACAAATACTTTTAGTCTGAACTCCAGTGAGATAGCGGAGTTAAAAGGAAAATATACTTTCGATTTGATTCTGTTATATTGACCAACCCCCCCCATCCCCTATCTGTTTCTCTGTCCACAGCCAGTACATGTCCACAGATAGTCAGAGGATAGTTGGGGGAGTTCTGGTGGGCACGGGCCTGTGGGTCTCCATAATAATGATCATGAGGAACGTCCTGAAGTCCCTGCTGTCGTGGCACGGCTGGATGCAGACCCGCCACGGTTCCGTGTCCTGGTCCACTCGTCTGTGGATGGTGAGACCAAACGTGCTTCTGTCAAACTCTGAAGGCCACATGAAAAGTTTAAAAAGTGAACAAGAAAACAGTGTAATTCCTTGACCCCCGTATCTTATCTTTACTCCCTATTTGATGTAGCAACCTTTAGAGGAGGGTGAATATGAGCATATCATTAATAAATTGATTATTAATGATATCAGTTGTAATGAATGATTTTATTTTCCTTATATTTTACTGCCGGGCGGCGTCTGTTTTATGATGCGTCATTATCATACTGTTCATGTGTTTTAGACTTGACGGGGAATTGAAACATTTTGGGGTTAAAATTAGGAACAATTCATGGAGAGAAGTCCAAACTCGGTGGACTCAGGGGTCACTGGGTTCAGAAAAAACTGCAGTGTCATTCTGGCGACTCTTCAGTTTGACCCGCTTCTTACATCTTTGCACTTTGCCTCATGCCCTGCAGGTCGAAAGAGAGAGAAATCGAACTCCTCATTCACTCATTCTTCCTTCTCTTATCTTATTTGTCTGTCCAGTTACTTGTGAAGATATTTTCTGGCCGGAAGCCAATGCTGTACAGTTTCCAGAACTCCCTGCCCCGGCTGCCCGTCCCCTCTGTCCGGGACACCTGCAAACGGGTGAGTTCCGCCTCTCAACATCCGAGTGGGCTGATGTCGCGTGACAGGCAGTTTTGCAGTGGGGTGAATGTTTAGACCATCCTTACTTAAGCCAGCGTAATACTGGTGGTTTTGGTAAAAAAGGAAAATGAGTTGCCTATTTATTTATTTTCTTTAATGTCTATGTTTATGCATTTAGCAGACACTTTTATCCAAAGCGACTTACAAAGTAGACATTGCTTATTGCTTTGCGTTGCCTATTATCTGTGTTTTTTTGCTCTCTGAGGTTCTCTTTATCGTTTTTTCAGTACCTGGAGTCTGTCCGTCCACTTATGGACGACAAGCAGTTTGAAAGGATGAAGGGCTTGGCTGAAGACTTTGAGAAGAATCTGGGACCCAGGGTCCAGTGGTACCTCAAACTGAAGTCCTGGTGGGCATCCAACTATGTACGTCGGTGGGAATTTCCTTTCCTCTCCGCTCTTTGGTCGATGGTGTGGTTATGTCACTCTATCTGCTCTTTGTCTTTCACAGGTTAGTGACTGGTGGGAAGAGTATATTTACTTGAGAGGTCGTGGACCCATCATGGTCAACAGCAACTACTATGCTATGGCAAGTCATCTCTTATCGTTTGGGTTGTAGCCAAAGATGACATAGTTCTGGATTCTCGTTTTATTAAAAAAATAAACATGGCATCAGTTCTAATGGGCACTTTATATGAATTGTGTAATTTTAAAAAATCTTTAATGTCAAAAACAAGACCATATACTTTATACTTTGGTAGTTTTCAGAGCTTGGATGCATACTTGTACAGGTTTAAGATCTGTAAATAAAACATTTTAGGCTGTGCTTTGAATGACATATTTGTGTGTTAAAAGATAAAAGCTTCCTTCGATTTTGCTTTCATGCTTTTAACATAGTGTTTTTTGAGTTTGGTGACACTTAAGAGAAAGGGTTATCCAAGTACAGATCCAAAAATAATTTACCCAGAAATTGCACATGATTTCCAAAATGTGCCCTAGGTTAAATAAATGATTAAATAATGATACAGTGGCCTATCACATCTACACAGAAGGCATGTGTTTGCAGAAGGGCCCCGTGTTCTTGAGGAATGATGGCCCGTTAAAAGACGTGTTTGGCTATTGATTTATTACTCTCACCATCCTCCACAGGACTTTCTTTACGTGTTCCCCACGCACATCCAGGCCGCCCGGGCAGGTAACGCCATCCATGCCATCATGCTCTACAGGAGAAAACTGGACAGAGCTCAGATCAAGCCTGTGAGTACGCAGCTCCGCGTGTCCTGCATAACTTCAACCACAATTTTTAATAAAAACATTTATTCTTTGGCATACGCTCCCCTGGAGCTGTTGGATGAATTATTTAAGCATGTGTTTGACTACATCAGTAAATATTTAATGTAGTCACGAAGATATTTTCACTGTAATAGATGTTATGTCAGCGTATTTGTCTTTTAAGTGCAAACTGCTTATCGTTCTTTTTGCTAATTGTCTTTATACATATTTGATATTAGTTATCCGCAGTTTCACTAATGATTTCACTTCACACTTTGTCTTATTTTGACTTTGGAATGCGCTTTTGCTTGTTTGAATGGAAGTGCAAATGGGGGGGTAGTGCTGAGGGGACGGTGGTGATTTAACAGGCACACCGGTGTCATTTTTCCTGCATCTCTCTCAGTCTTTTGCACTTTCCAGCCTGCATGATGCTAAACCGCGCATTGTGAATTTGCACAATGATGCCGCACGTTGTGCAAACAACACACTTAACAAAGACAAAGTTGTTGGTGTTTACACAAACGCCAGCGCATGAGCTTGCCGTGTTACACACTTAACTGCAGTTGTCTCTGTTTTGCTGTTTTGTCCCTTCGCTGTGTCGGACGCTGCGTTAGATTTACTTGCTGACGAACAAGGTCCCTCTGTGCTCTGCTCAGTGGGAGCGAATGTTTAACACCTCCCGCGTCCCTGGTGTGGATACAGGTAAGAGGAGGGCACATCTCCACCCATGCCCCCTGACCCCTCTGCCACGTGACCCTAGGTGTTGCCATGTCAACAGCCCTTGGAAACCCCGACTCCCTCTCTCCTTCCCGGCAGCACGGCTTTGAACAAATCAGTGTAGCTGTCCTAGATATAAATATCCTCATTAAATATATTAATTGAGGTTTAGAAGTCTTAAAAAGACAACAAAGTTGTGAAAAATCTACCGTCGAATCAGGGCTTTACTGCCAGGATTGAGATGGGAGTCCTAAGGTTTCTGGATCTTGCTCATTCCTTATTCCTTGGCATCCTTCTGTGTTCCTTCCCTCTTCTTATGACTGCTTGTTGGACTGATTCCCATCATCACCACTCCACCTCACTCACGCTCTAGTCCGTGTAGGTGTGTGTCTGCTTCTCTCCGGGGATTTTAGTGAGTTACTTTGTCATCTCTGTGTTTGACTCTCCCCTTTTCCTCTTTCAGCTCATGCTCCTACACACTATTCCCATGTGCTCTTCCCAATACGAGCGCATGTTCAACACAAGTCGTGTCCCAGGTGTAGACACAGGTAGAGTCTTTAGCTGTGCCGTCTCCTTCACACCTACTCCTCCTGTGTGTCTCCTCGGGACATGTGTCCATCTGTTTGGATTGAAAATGATCAGACCTCCGTAAATTAGACGTGCATGTGTGCCAATCGACTCACCCTCGAATGTTAATTTGCACGAGACTGAAATCTATTTTATGAGTACTTGGAGTTTGAAAATGGGACATTGTAAAGGTAAGACCTCACTAGCATTATGCTGACCTGAATACATTAAAAGATGATGTATTCATAAAAGGTATCATATGGGCCTTTGCTATTACAGTTCAGCATAAAATAGAGCTTGAAAGATGACGGGTTTCTGTTTCAGGCTGCAGAAACTGTGTGGTTGTCTAGAGTAAAGCCAATAGACAACCTTTTTGAGTGAGGATATGGATTGTTGGACAAAATTTGACAAATGGAGATGATTCCTTCTCTGCATGAAATGCCACCAGTCCTACAGAGATGACCGGTCTGAGTCGAAAGCCTCCGGCTCAGACCACAACTTATTCAGCTAAAACCAATGGAAATCAGCATGACTCGGTGTTTTCCTTTAAATTGTCATGTTTAAATGTAATTTTTTGAAAAACGTTTTAGATGGATGTCATATAAGAAATTTTAAGTTTCCATGTTGTTATCACACAAAGATGTGGGAGCTGCTCTGTTAACAAAGCCAGTTTTCCTAATAATTTTACCAGTTTTCATATCTATTAAGTTTTTGGGGGGGGTTTGCCGCAGAAATCCCAGCAAGCTCAGTGATATGAGGATGGGAAGGTTTTAGTTCTTGAGGATCCCTTTTCATGTAGGACTCTTCTCTCTCTCTTGTCTGTAAGAAATGACAGTGTTTGTTTGAACACTGAGCATCACCAGAGCCCTCGAAAAACTTTTGTAGCAACATGCAGACACCGCTTTTGAATTGGTTTGTCTTGGTTATGCCCGGTGCTGCTCAAATAAACAAACAAACACTCAGTTATTTTCCTCCCATTCACCTCACGCCTGTTCCCCGATGCCCCTCCTTCATCATCTCACCTCCTGTATGTCCCATTTCAAGCTCAAGTCTTTGAACTGTACAGCCCCTTATCAGCAACCAGCGTGTTTAGTAAGTAGGTTAATGGCTCCCTTACGGCAGAATTAACTGTTAATAATTAAAGTAATTTGCTTTTTTTTATTTTGCAAAAGAAAGTCCAATTCCTATAATTTTTCTGATGGGGTCATATACTAGTTACTAACACAGCTGTTGTCCTAAGAAACGTAACATGTGCCATTCATGCATTGTTTTGACTGATGGGCCTGTTTTTTTGGGGGGGTTTTCTTAATGTTTTTGAGTAGGCCTATCTTTTTGTGGTTATTCTTAAAGTTTTTGCCTCTGTAACCCTGTAACTGCTAAGATTACTTGAGTTTAAGCATGTCCACCACAGTTTAAGGAGAAGAAAAACATACATTAGATATGCTTTTTGATCAGCCTAAACTTTCCTCCCATTGTCTTTGCTCTCCTCTGTTTGGCTTCTCAACCTTTCGACCCTGTCCCTCAGATACACTTCAGCACATGAACGAGAGCAAACACATCGTCGTGTACCATAAGGGCCGCTTCTTCAAGGTGTGGATGTTTTATGATGGCCGTCTGCTGCTGCCCCGGGAGATAGAGCAGCAGATGGAGAGGATCCTCGCCGATAAGTCGGAGCCTCTTCCGGGAGAGGAGAAACTGGCAGCGCTCACTGCCGGGGACAGGTAGGCGGCTGGGGTCCTTATCGAGAGCGGCTATCGGTTTGCTGTCACCACTGATGACGAGAATTTCCACATTCCATGTCTTAAAACTTTCCTGCCCGAGGAAACGTGAACACTTGTCCTGCCGCCGTAACCGAAGACGGCGATCATCTGCTCGTTCAAACCATTTTTTTCCTGTCCCCCCATCCTCCGTAGGACTCCCTGGGCGAAGGCCCGTGACGCCTACTTCGGCCGTGGTAAGAACAAGCAGTCTCTGGACGCCATCGAGAAGGCCGCCTTCTTTGTGAGTCTCGACGACACCGAGCAGCGCTACGATCTGGACAACAAAATCCAGTCTTTGGACCGTTATGCCAAATCCCTCCTCCACGGACAGTGCTACGACAGGCAAGGCTCCGGGCCGTGGCTCATCGGTTATTAGACAGAGATTTGAAATGAAACGCACAAGCGTTGACCCTCGGTTTTCTTTCAGGTGGTACGATAAATCCTTCAATCTGATCGTTTATAAGAACGGCACCATGGGCCTGAATGCGGAGCACTCGTGGGCCGATGCTCCGATCATTGGCCACCTGTGGGAGGTAGGCCTGCATGCTCGTGCCTGCTAACGTCACAATGAATGGTTTTTTTATTTGACAGGAGATGGTGTCTCAGAGTACTCTGCTCTCACGAACAGTCAGATAAAAAAAGAATGTGACTGTGTTGCAGCATGTTCTCTCCATGGATCCCATTAAGCTGGGATATTCTGAGGATGGCCACTGTCGTGGGGAGCTTCATCCCAGCATGCCGGGTCCCCAGAGGCTGCAGTGGGACATCCCAGCCGAGGTAAGCCAGACGGAAATTCTCATTCCGATCTCTGTGACTTAAAGCCCCTCAGTCTCACTTCAACTATCTTTGATGTTTTTCTGCCTGATGGTGAAGTTGTAGACGTGTGAAAAAGGTTTATTCATGACGGTTAAACAAACAATTCAATGACGCCTTTCAGTGCCAGGAAACCATTGAGCACTCGCTGACCGTTGCCAAGAGTCTAGCCGACGATGTGGACTGCCACATCATTCCCTTCGACGAGTTTGGCAAAGGCCTGATTAAGAAGTGCCGCACGAGTCCCGACGCCTTCATCCAAATCGCTCTGCAGCTGGCTCACTACAGAGTAAGTCCGCATCCAGCACGTGAGGGGGACAACGCACAACACACCCCTACAAGTGTAGCCACGTGCTCATTTTGACCCGCTAGCTTGCACAGAGGCAGGAGAAGTATTTATTTATTTATTTTCACCTGATAGTGTTTGGATTTGTTATTCAATCAAATATCTGGGATTCGGGCAAGACTTTTGAAATCGTGCAGCGTCACCGGCCGTATATCGCCACCAGAGGGCAGGCACAGCTGTCTGAGGGGATGTTCTGTCTCAACAGGACAAAGGGAAGTTCTGCCTGACATACGAAGCCTCCATGACCCGCCTGTTCCGCGAGGGCCGGACAGAAACCGTGCGCTCCTGCACCGTGGAGTCATGTGACTTTGTGCGCTCCATGATCAGAGACGAGACGGTAGGTTTTTTTTTGGCGTGGCGCCGCACCTCCCCGTCTTTCCCCCCGAAGCTCTCCCTCCCCCAGCTTTCCTCATGCTGCTCTCGTCTGCCCCCGCTCGGCACTGCAGACAGAAGAGCGCCTGAGGCTGCTCAAAGTGGCCGCCGCGAAGCACCAAAACATGTACCGCCTGGCCATGACGGGGCAGGGCATCGATCGCCACCTCTTCTGTCTCTACGTCATCTCCAAATACCTCGGAGAGGATTCGCCGTTCCTGAAGGAGGTAAGGGCACGTCGCCTGAACCGGAACGGCATCGCATGGCTCCTATAAACCAATAGGGTGGTTGTTTGAATCTGCGTACATGGCAGGCAGGAAGCAGAACAGAGCCGTGAAGTGTACTTGTTCCATTTGCATTCAGGTCCTGTCAGAGCCGTGGAGGCTGTCCACCAGTCAGACCCCTCTCCAGCAGGTCGAGCTGTTTGACCTGGTCAAGCACCCAGAATATGTGTCCGCTGGAGGTGGATTCGGCCCAGTAAGCTCCTTTTAAAGAGTGCATGCAGTCTGAATAAAGATGTTTATGTGGTATTCCTCTCACGCAAGTACTACAGCTTCTTTTGATCACTCATAAATAATCACTCTAAATGTTCTTTTTCTTCGTCTACAAGGTGGCTGACGACGGTTATGGCGTCTCTTACATCATCGTTGGTGAAGATCTCATCAACTTCCACATCTCCAGCAAACACTCAAGTCCAGAAACGGTAGGTTTCTTCATAGTCCCCAAAAGCAGTCTTTTTTTTCCTTTCTTTTTTTGTCTTTCATTCTTTAACATTCTGGGCTTTCTAAAACGTGCTGTGTTTCTTTTTCGGCCTCTCAGGACTCTCATCGTTTCGGCAGCAACATCAGACAGGCCATGCTGGACATGCTGGACCTCTTCCAGCTCGACAAGAAAGCCACAAAGTGACGGCGCTTCTCGCAGGTGGAATGAACACAACAAAATGTTTTTAGCGCAACATAGATTCTAACTCAAGCTTGTACAAAATCGATTTTTGGATTTCCGGGGTTGTTTTAAGTTAATTGCTGTTAAAAGAAAGGAAAAAGATCGTTGACAGATTGTTTGGACACATTTTTGTGAATGTTTGTGAGCTGACTATATGTACTGTACTGTTCAGGCAAAGTGCTTTAGGTACATGTTGTGCACAGAACAAAAGTATTTATTGACATGGCTGTACTTACCGGTGCCTTAGTTACCCACTAATGTAAAAAAAAAAGAAAAAGGGAGGAGTAAATTCAAGCCTGGGATCAAGTCCGTGTTAACACAGTGAATGAGATTGTTTTTCTGAAGGTTTCTTTATGGCATCATCCGATATTTACTTGTTTTAAGTTGTGAGATGGTGCAATATTTGTGTTTAGATTGGATCCTCACCCTGTGCATCCATGTTTTAAGTTTAATCCCGCCTCCGCAGCTGACCCTCCGGACTTGCATGTAACTGACCAAAGCAGCAGACTTGATGTTCAATATCAAGAGGTTTTTTTTTGTTTTGTTTTTGTTTTTTTTATGCATGGTTGTCTGCCAATTTTTCACATTATTCAGATGAAATGAAGGACTAGCCGCTGCAAACCCGCTGGTAAGGAGTCAGTAATGTGTAATCGCGTGGCTTGTAAATACTCGGTTTCGGTTCCGAAGCGCACGCATCGGTGTGGTTGTGCACACAGGACACAAATCAGGTGCCACTGTACCCTGCCCCCACCCCTCCCCCTCCGTTGCCTTCCTCACACACGTGTGCAGCCGGCCCGTTTTGGACGGACGCCCGCTGCGACACGGTAACCTGGGCAGGAAAATGCGCGAGCGTTCGCCTGCCTCGTATTCTTACTCAGGTTTTGCTAACTTGGCCTGTTTTACATGGTCCTGGCTACAGTGCAGAAACAGTAGCGCGCATTCTGACATGGCATTCTGCAGGGCGGCCCCCAGACGTGGTTTTCAGTGGAAGCGAGGCCTGGCGGGACAGAGTGAGGCCAACTTTAGCTTTTTTTCCTCATCATTACGGAAAAAAACTGCATTAACCATACCTTACACCGTGTTTCGCTCTCAGTTGTTGCCCTGCAAGTTGGAGTTCTCTGCAGGTTTATATCTTGGTTGGCAATATGTCTAAAGCAGATGAAGTAAGAGAATGACAGGGTGGCATTTTGGTTCTCCTCTAATGGAAGAAGTCATTATTTCTCCAGGAAAGCAATTATATTTGGGTTTCTTTTGTATAGGGATGCATTTTTTATGTATATGTTGTCAGTCCATCATATTTATTTTTCTGGATTTTAAGCTCTTAATTCACATGCGAAATGTTTAGCATCTGAATGTGGCGAATAATGAGCACTAACTTAAAGCTTTTCTGATTCAAGGTGTAAAACAGGCAGTTTTTTCTTTTTGACTAGACGATTTTACTATCAGACTTTGCCAGTACGCTGTAGGTTTTTATCTCTGTAGACGTTTTGTTTACACTGCTGCATGGTTTTTGAAGCTGTATATGTTTGCCTTCGATTTAAAGGTGTTTAAAAAAAACGGAAAAGAAAAGCAGCTGATGCACCAAACAGAGTTTTAACAATAAAATGAATGTCAGACAGCTGTATTTTGCCTCTTGTGGTCATTGTATTTAACTATTTGTGTTTTTTTTCGATAACTTTCTTGGAAATTGTATTTTTCACCACTCTGTGCTTTTAACACATGAAATATTTGTGACAGAAACGACTGGCAAAAGCTTAATTTAAATGAATAGTTCTTTAATTAATTCTCAAAAAAGTCCTGCTCAGGTTTACGGCTTTCTTTTTGTGTTCACTGATTGAGGAAACGACCAAAACACGGCGCTGCTTGAATCAGCATCATTGTGTATGTTCAGACTTTGATGGTAAATTCAACAAATCAATGCTGTTGAAGGTAAAATAACTGCAGGTATTTGTACATTAACCAGACTATTTGGAAGACAAAACAATTAGAAGCAGAATGCCTGACATGTTTCCCATCTACCATTTTAAAATCTGCATACCTCTTTATTCAGAAAGTTGTAGCTTTTGAAGATATCATCAAATCATTAATTATTTAGGAAAAACAACACATTTATTTGCTTATTTACAGTTATCTACCTTTACCACTAACCCTGTGGAAAGGCCTCTTCATACTGGTTGAATACTGGGCTAATTGTGACACAGTGGCTGATGCTTACATGGATCTGTGGACCATAAAATTTGTCTGTATACTTCAGCACTTAAAATGTCATCCACATTCTATCGTATGGCCAGGAGGGGGCAGCACGTTTGATTCTGGAATTGATGTTTGTTTCAAGCATCCCTAAAAATAGTATTTTCAGTGAATGAATTTCTATTAAGCAAAATGCCATGTGATGATGTCACATGACATCAGAAAGAAAAGTCATTTGGAGGCTGTTTTTCAGTGCAATTCATTGACTTTCCATACCCGTGAATGGCATAAAGCAAGCACATTAACTGCTTTCAACTGTCCGTCCTCCCCCACTCTCACACCCATGTTTGAAAGCTTTTGTTGGCTCTGACCATTTGTAAACCTCTTGAAATGTGACCAGTGTGAAAATGAGATCTTTCCTACCTTTGCCGAGCGTTTATTTAATCATAGAAAAGCTGCCCGATGGGCGGATGGCATTCGCCTGTCATAAGAACAGGTGCTCGGGCTCAAGTGGACAGCACCAAGGAGCCAGTTCCGTCCCTGAGGTATTAATAAGTCCGTCCACTCATGCTGTTCAGGCTACATTCGGTGATTAACTCAATTTAAGAGGAAGACATTTAACAGGCCTCATGAGGTGACAGCTCTGTAAAGAGAGCAGCTCGGGGGGTGATTACACGCAACTGTGCTACAACTTTATCTTTCAATCCCTTTTTCTTTTCCATACTCACACCTCCACGTTGCTGCCCCCCCCCCCCCCCCCCCCCCCCCCCCCCCCCCCCAATGTCATCCCACTCTTAGCTTCCGACAGGAGGCTAACATTTCAAGACGGCATTCCTGAGCTCTCCCTGCTCCTCACCTCCTCCGGGAATCTACAGTTTGGCCTCATGAGAAATAGGATCCATTTCAAAGCCAGCTCTTTGTGTACAATTTCTTTTTGTACGTCCTCGTCGAAAGCGTCAAGCGTATCCAGGTTTTCTGCACATTAGCAAATGCCTGATTCACTTCTGAGCAAGGCCAAAATAGACTTTTCCTTTGTTGAAAATGTACCAAATCAGAAAAAAACAAGGTCACGTCTATGAACCTGTGAAAGCTGGCCTTTGGACAACAAACTTTTAGACTAGATTGTGCACCTAATTGGCAAGCTGGAAAACCCATTTGTTCATGAGCAGACAGTGAAACCTAAAACCTTGACTTGCACTTTCTAAAAGTAGACTTTGGAGGGATCTGCTGCCTCTGCTTGTCACCAGTTTAATTCATGGGCCTGTTGCTCTACAAAACACTCAAAGAAAAGAGGGAAGTCAAAGTGCCCAATCCTGTTATACAAGTAATTCATTCATGATGGGAGTAGCAGTCATTTCATTCGTTACATTTTTGATGTAACAGTTGATAATTCTTTCTTTTGTAGCTACTGTATGTACATCGATAATGTAATTCTTGAGTTGGGTATTGGCAGAACAATTTGTTTTTCCCCCTCTGCTGGATGACTTACATAAAGCCCTATTAAGCCCAGAATTAATTAGGTTGAAGGCCACATCTTAATGCTGTGAATGAGGGGAAAGAAATTGGACTGCGGCTAAATATTAGTTTCAACGTGAGTTTCCAGAGGGAACAAGAGCGTTGTGCCATTTAACTCATATAGGGATTAAAAAATGTTTTAAAAAATCAAGAATTTGAGGTCATTTTGCATATAGACATGAAAAAGTCCAATTTATATCAAAATAATCCCGAGCATTTTTGCACATTATCCAAAAATAAGAACTCACATAGAGCAGGTCGTTAAAGGTTTTGCCTGTTGAATAACTGAAGAAGAGTCTTCTCAAGTCTTTCACACTGTAACCTCATTACCTCATCACCAGATTGGGGGAAAAGTACTGTACGAACCTCGGTGGTTCAGGGAGGGTGTAAACGGAGAGGGTGAGCTTGGTGGTAGACGCTGAGGGACATTGTACGTCTGTGGCCTTCTGCACCTGTCTGACCTCACTAAAGGAACAGGGACTGGGGCCTCAAGGTGGAACTTGGCCAAGCAGCAAGAGGGGAAGGTAAGTAAAGGAAGCTGAGTGAAGGGTGGGCTGAAAACGATTCCCCTGAGAATCTCTCCCGCCGCATGCTCACCAATGCTATAAATATCTTTTGGAAGGTTTAAGTGGAATTAGTGTGGATGTGAGTGGCCCACACCCTCTCAAATATATAGCCATTACTTCCCTGGCACGAAGAGAAGAAAAAGAGAGATTTATTACTGATCAGGGGACCATCACACCCAAACAAGTAGAAACAAAAAGCAGAAACACATCACAGTAGAAACATGAAACGTAGATTTGGATGTTTTTTGAAGCCATACAGATAAAAACATTAGTGGGAAATGAGGAACTATAAAGGCATAGCTTATAAAGACAGCATAAGTATTTAAAGCAGAGGCAATGACTGTCATTTGACTGTGAGGCATTTAAAAATGTATGAAAGGACTTGAACAGCCCTGTGGTGTCTAATTGGTGTATTAATAGATGGGGTGTACATGGCAAATCCCTTTTTAAAATTCAAATTTGGCAAAACAAAAACATAATTTGTGTAGAAGAAGTGAAAAAAAAATCAGTGAATTTCTCAAAAGATTCCATTCTGATTTCTCCTCTGATGATATTCTGACAGTGGCAGTGCAGCCCTGTCATGAAATCGTGAAATAAGCATGAAACTGACGACTTGAGAAAGTGAAGTAAGAAAATGTAAACTTTATTGCAACTTTTGTCATTCTACGTTCTCTGATTTACAGAAGATAAAAACATTTGTAATGGCACAGTCATCGTAATATTTTCATTGCTGATACTGCAATAATCCAGACACTCGTCTTTGTCCAGATTTAAGAGTGGCATTATAGTAAGGCATCAGGGTCTTCGTAGACAGAAGGGGAGGAAAAACCTATCAGAGCTTTTTCCTGCAGCATATATGCGAGCATGGCACAGCATTCCAAAAGCAAAAAAAAGCGTTATCATGGTAACGAGAAAAAGCCCGTCAAAAGATGGGCTGCGGGAAATCACAGTTTGTCCATCGTACATTCTGAGCTGTGAGAGATTAAGACGTTGGTGTGTTTACAACATACCGTGTTGCTCTAAGACATTTGGTGATGCGATAAGCTTCATTAGACCTGAGTGTTTGAGTTGATAAAGTAAACGCGTTAGGTCTTTTCATTTTGGTTTGACTAAATAAGATATGAGTGTCTATCGTTGCTGGCGGCCAGTTAAGATTGTGCTGCGAAGAACAAAGTCAATGAAGAAAAACACTAACAGAGAACGGTGTGATTAACTTTCCACAAATAAACTGATAAATCATGGCTGAAAAGAATAAATTTCTCCATGGGCAGAATTAGAATTCAATTAAACGGAACCTTTTTTTTAAGTCATAGATCAAACATCTTATAAGTATTAAACAGAAGAAACTGGTGGATGTCAAAGTGGACATTCAAAAGAACAGGTCAACGCATGAGGGGAAAAACACTAAAGTGAAAGGCTGGTGGAAGCTGAGCCTCCTGCTGCCTGGTAAATCATAAATGAACTGGTTTAGTTCTGGCAAACTCATCAATTTTTGGCTGCAGGACCGGTTTAACACTCACTTAGGACCAATATTTGGATTCAAAACAAAAATCTCTTTTGTGAAAAGTTCAAGATTTCGTCTACAAATGAGAACCAAAACAACTCTCCCTTGGTTAAAAAAGGTATTTTCTTTTCTGTTTACACCAGTCCATATTGCGAACAACACATAGTTAATCCAGCATACAGTACATCCAAAAGCTAAACCATCTGCTCTCTCACACTCAGGGCAGTGCGCCTAAATGTTTTGGTAGATTAGGGATAACAGGCTTATTCATTTATTTGGAAATTGCGACGGGGCTTTAAGAGAAAAATGAGAGCTTTCTACAAACAATACCTTTTCTTACAAATTCTGGTATGCAATTGACTGACTTTTTAATTACCCTAGCAACTTTTATTGCTCCTTTGGACAAATTTAGCATCTTTTTAGTAATGACTCAAACTCTAAGATGCAGACCATGTATTTGCCTTTGAATTGATTGATTATACATATATATTTTTTTATCTCAGTCACAGCTTATGGCCTGTGCTGTAGAAGCTCATTGGGACGAATGTCAGCCAGTGTGATGGCTCAGCTCAATCACCAGGCACGGGGCCCCTTAGCAGCTCCGACAGCTGACGGCAGCAACTGTGGCATTTGTTCATTAATAAAAACCCATGTCCAACATATTCAGCCATTACAGTATAAGTCTTGGTTTGGAAGGAACAAAATAAAATACATGGTTAATTGTACACCACATGGTAGTTGAAAGGGTAATATTGCATAAACAGATGGTTAGCTATGCATTTACACAGAAACTAAAGGAAGGTGAACAACTGCATGCTGCAAAAACACTTTTTGAGACGTCGTGGATTCAACTAAAGCGATGCGACTGTTTTATAAGCACATGTTGTGAGAACTTTGGACTAAGTCGGCTGTGGTCTTTACACTTGATTAAGCTGCATGTGGCAGCGTCATCCTTACAAAGCAGGCATGTGAGTAATATCAGTTGCAAAAAAATTAAGAGAAAGGACATATTTCTCCATATGTCAAGCTATTACTTTGAAATGTCCGTTCAACCTAAAGGTGTCGTCTTCAAGGCTTTCTTTAAAACTTAAACTGGCTCCCTTGAAATATCATTTGAATACAACATCAATTAGCAAGTGAAAAAAAGCCACCAATTTAGAATCCCTTGCTACAGCAGGTAAATAATAAGGTAAAACTGAGCTATACTCAAATATATGCAAAATCACAACTACAGTGACATGGCCTCAAGTTCCTCTTGATTACAGTACTAAGGGACATTCAGATGTGTCCAACACAGTGGTACGTTTATGAACTGATTTAAACTATTGTAGGAATACATACTAAGGGGCGATAGGTCGCCGTGTGTAATGACTGTAAAGCAGTGAAAATCTGTGACTTGAGGTACATTCATAAAACATCAGCCCCTCAGTCTTATAGGTTCAAGTAAAAGCCTTTCCAACGAGTGAGCAAAACATGTGGTGCCATGGTGCGTCTGAACTGTTTGCAGCTTTCAGTGACCTAACTTCCTCCTGGTAAGCATTTTCCTTGATAAAAAAAAGAACCCTTTCAAATGTCTTCCTTTGTTTTTCCATTTCTTCATTTGGTCTTCTTGAGAGATTCAGATTCTTTTAAGCCAACAGTGAGGCTTACTTTGTTCCTCCTTGTGAAGAGAGCCAGCAGCAAACTAAAAATTGAAAGACTGTAGAAAGGCCGTATGTAAACACACAGATTTCTGCGAAACTATACACACGCACACAAAGAAAAAAGAAGAAAAAAATGGCTGAATGGATTTTTTTTTAAAAGTCCAGAAAAAAAAAATCGGGTAAGAGGTAAAACTGATTAACATTTAACAAAAGGAAGAAACAAACTGTCACAAAGGAAACGAAATATAAACAGTTTTTAACTGTAAAGTGCAAGTATAAAAAAAAAATCTTTCTACATGTCGCTTCAAGTCAGAGCTTGAGAAAAGGTCAATGGTCTGTAGTGGAAAAGTGCAAGTTGGGAACAGCACGAGTATTAAAAAAAAAAAAAGAAAAAAAAGAATTTGATTTAAAAAGTAACAGGTTAAGCCAGGAGACTCAGTGGACGAGTCGGATCACTCAGCTCCTTCGTAAAAAAACAGCCACTTCCTCCAGGGGGACAGGGTAGTCCTGCAGAAACGTCCCCCCGTCGAACACCTGCCCATTCCGGCTGTCCTGCCACTGGAAGCCCCCGTCTGGTAAGTAAACGTCCCTCTGAACTGCCCCCTTCTCCACTACTGGCGCTACCAAGACCTGAAAACACAACAACGTCCAAACAACCGTCATGTCGCTGATTGTACGCCGTCAGATTTCTGAGTCATTTTGTCCTCCGTCTGAATGTGAAGTACATTAGAGGCTGAAAACGTAAACCCCATCCCATCCCTTCTGCATCACCTCGTCTCCAATCAGGAACTGGTCATCAATGGTGAAAGTCATGGGATCCTCAGGACTGAGCCACCACATTGGCCGGTAGATGGGGTTTCCTGTCATCTGCCACTCGTCGGCATACTTCCCCATCAGAGGGACCACCTCTCTCTGGTGTTTGGCTATGTAGGTCCGAGTTAGATTTAGCACCTGTGGGAAGTTAATGAGCATTGCAGAAAAAACTAATTACGACTAAATTACCTTCTCAAAAGGCCCAAATGGGGATTACTGTCTGCTGTGTTTATGTTTGGAGACACGTCTTCCATCAACGCTCAGCCAAATGGATTTTCAAGAGATCTCGAGTGGCGGAAAATTAAACTAGTGAAAAAGGGGCGATTTAAAAAAAAAAAATATATATATATATTTTATAAGGGTTTCAAGACGAGAATATTACTGTCGATCAGGTCTGCTCGGGACATTTGAGCCATTTCTTTACCCAGACATTGAGATGGAACATAAGAGCAGCCCATTGTTGACTTAGTGGGTTTAACAGTGTCCAACTTTTTCTCCTGTCTCCCTCTAGCCCAACGACTTCAGCATTCCTAGAAGGGTCACATCCCCCTCAGTGTCCCGTGACAAAAACAAAACTTGACCGCGTCTATAAAAAATGTATTTTCATGAGCTGGGACTGAGAAAATTTGGATTGAGCTTGAATCAGAGCCCAGGTTTGAGTGGATCTTTCTCTAATTGAGAAGCCAGGCCTGCATGTGGCTTTGAGGTTTTGCTGCTATTTGGACCCAGCGCGCTCGTTACCGTGACCTGTCCGTGACTGACTGGAGTCTAATACATTCTGGAAATGACGGTATACGTTTTACATACAATAAATTCTCATGAAAGACTCATTCATCACATCCAGCGGAGCGCCCTCTCCTCGCGAAATATCGCCCCGGTCTCACTCGGTCTAACTATATAAGCGGACGGCTAAGCTGCACACCGAAATGGAAAACTTGCTCCTGTCAAACGTCTGGCTGTTCAAAAAGCCTAAATTTATCTTTGTCACGCAACACAAGTCCCGAGCAGGATATTTCCCTTCCCTCTTCCTCGTCTAAATGAAAAAAATACGACCTATCACTCCCACTCCGTCACAGTTGTCACTTACTCATAGAAATCTTAATTGCCATAATAATGTATTTTTCCAAGACTTGTCCTCAAGTTCATTATCATTCCAGCTGAAGTGGCCCTTAAGAGTGAGAGTGAGCCATAAATCTAAAATGGGGAGTGTAATTCAGAACAGATGGTCTCTTAACCACAGGTGAATGATGAGGAAAGGCTTGCAAGGGAGGGGGGTAAAAAGCCCTCGCCCTCTGAAAAATACATAAACTCTTTCAGGAACCTGAGTGCCGGCACTCATTGTCAAAAATATCAATGTCTGTCACCAGAGCCCAGACACTCTGGTTTCCTGCTGCGTCCGGTGAATAGCTGCTTTCTGATTTCCAACAGAGAGAAAGGGTTTGTTCTGCCTCTCCTGCCAAGTTTGAGACTTGATAGATCAGGTCTCAACCATTCTGCTAAATCATCGATGGGAACTTACCAGTGGTGGGTCCATAAACTACACCTCTTATAACTTAAAAAGAAAAATTCAGAGTGCGAGAAAGAGGTATGAGTTCTCACTTTTGGAACATTTAATTGGCAGCAGTCGCGCCTCACTTCACTTGATCTCTCTGCTATAAATCCTCACAAATGAAAATCTCATTAACAAGTCTGGAAAAGAATGCGTACATGCTGGGCTGTTGCTATTTTAATTGGAAAACGTGTGGATGTGTAAAAAACCCGCCGAATGTCTTCTTTTATTGTTCCATCTCTTTGTGTGGTCTTCTTGCGAGATTGAGATTATTTTATTATCTTATGTGCTTTAAATTTGGTGCTGCATGTACCTCATCTTCTCCGCAGGCCCAGGGTGGTGTGTGGAAGCTCATAACTGGTAGGAAGGCCACAATCTCCAGCCAGCGGATGAACAACTCCTCATCCGTGACCAGGTTTCCGGACAGAGAGCCTCCTTCAAGGAAAAAGACAGACCGATTAAGTTGAGGAGAATTACACCGGTGGTGCACTTTAACTATTGTCTTGATTTTTAACTGGAAACATTAAATGTGAGATAAAACCTGATTACGGGACTTGACAAAGAGTTGAAAGCCTTCCTATAAAATAGCTCGACAAAATGTCTCTAATTTAGTCTGTTAGGACCACAAATCTAGGTCAGATGTGTGATTTAAATTGTGTTTATTCTTGGATTTTTTTCTTAGTAAAATGCATGAAGATTATATCTGAAGTGAGTTGCATAGAATAATAATACGGAATTATTTCATTCATCATATTGATAATTGATTTAAAAGAGCCGATTGTTTGGAAATGAATGAAGCATCCTGGTTCCGGTTTAAAGTTATCTGTGTTTCGGGACCCATGTGTTCTGAGCCTACACTCGCTAAAACTATACAATCTAAAAATCTATGTATTCACCAGCAGATGTGTCCCACCATGAATGGGTTATGTTAACTGAACAGTCTGGAGTGTTTCCCATTAGTCTATTCTGTCTCTTGATATTGACAGCTCCCTGTTTTCTCCACTTCAAAGTAAATAGTTTTCTCACAGACATCAGCTGTCTGTCTGGCTGTGGACCACCATCAGAGGTATTTGGAAAATGACAGGAATACATCAGATTTTTCAGCCAGAAACCAGATGCTCAGGTGAGTTCTTTTTCTCTTCATTTTTCTTAGTAATTTAAAACAACAACAGCTAATTACTGAATTCCATTTTTTTGCTTCCTATAACACAGAAAAAGTTATACATAGGCTATTGTATTACCTACTGCATCGGGAATGAGAAAGTTGTATCCCAGCAGTGTGTGGTGCAGCAGGGAGGGAATGATGGCCCTCAGCCCCATCCAGCCCCAGTCAGACTGCAGGGGGGCCATCTTCACAAACAGCGGCCGGTGGCTCGACCTGAGACAGAGAATGGTGGAATGTCAAGACATGATGGAACCAATCTTGGAAAAATGCTTGTCGATGGGGAATCCTTAAATTCGTTCGGAAGTATTACCGTGTCCCTGCTGTCATGATGGTGGAGTCTCCTATTCTGCTGGCCAGGTCAGCTAGAAGTTCAATGTACTTGTCTCCACCCAGAGTCTGTGGTGGTCGCAGGGCCTGCTCCTCAAACAGATTCCTCTCCCCCCCCTCCAGCATGATGTACTCCATTCCTAAGTGGGCCTGCAGGGATCCCACCCTGTCCAGGAACCAGCTGACTGCTCTTGGGTTTGTGATGTTCAGCTTTACGCAGAACTTCCCCTGCCACTGGCTCATCACAGGGATCTGGATGGGAGGACACAGGCGAGTGGATTAAAAAAAAAGGTAACTCTGTAATTACAATCTCTTGGCTAAATAAAACAGAATATAGTGTTTTATACTATTTTCTCTCATAGACTTCACATCGCTCTAGATTTGCTCTCCGTGAATACAACCAAACTGAATGGAAAACTTCATATGTGTAGAACTCTGATCTGGGCTAATTATCTTGCAGGGTGATGGTTTGTGCCTCTCAGGTCTCACCAGCTGTCCCTGTGGGGCTGAAGGGAGACTGAGCCAGAAGGCCTCTGTGCCATCAACTAGCGAGGTGTGGAACTGTGTGGTGTCCACACCCAGGAAAGGGGACAGGGTGATGGAAATGTTGAGAAGCTTGACAAGTGGGAGGTCCCTGGTCAGTCTCTTGGACATCCCCCTTTTTCTGCTGATGAGGTAGTCATGGTCCTACAAAAAAAATAAACAAAACCCCTTTAGAATTTACAAACTGACATTAGGATAAGATAACGGTGTACATATTTTGCAATGTCTCGAGTACTCACCATCTATATACAAGAAACAAATTGATAAGGCTACTAAGACAAAAGAAATACCTTATTTTCTAATTAGTTTCAAATGTACTTTACTTAAGAGTTAACTAAAATAGGTTCAGATGGCAAACTAACTGTAATTTTGTCCAGAGCCAGGAAGTCATTCCAAGCTAATACGGTTAAACTCCAGTGAAAGAAAGGATCATTGTTGCCTGTCACATTTTTGTGGAGCCTTACGCTTCATGGACAGCTTCAGACGCTTACGTTTCCATGCAGGCCAATACGCTTGACTTGCTCCTACTATCACTAACCAAGGGGAATGGGGTGATGTAGCACCAACACAGTCAGTGCTTAGTATCTTTGATGTGCTGGAAAACATGTGATTCAAGGAAAATCTTGCTCACTAATAGGGTGATATAAGTTGCTCCTCCCATTTTGCCTCCCCCTCTCTTTGTCCTTTCATACCTCGTGCGCTGAAAACGGGAACATACTGTTACTATTGTGCTTGTAGTGCCCAAAAAACACCACGGTCAGATTAAGAGAAACTCCCCGGCCTTCTTCACTGTTGCACGCTGCTGATCAAATTACAGTTTTGAGCTGGTGTCAAGATCACCTGCCTAAGTTAGTCTTGGCTGACATCCCTTCAAATCTCAACACAAACAATTTCCTGCCATCCGACAGTTACCACACTCAGGGCAACCTGAGATCTATTACTTGAGGCTCTGTTTATTTTCTCTCAACTCTATTTGTTTTTTCATGGAACATCACCAGGTACCGAAATGGATCCACTTCACAGTGGACTATGGTTCACTCTCCACACAGTGCACAATAATATTCAACGACTTGGCTCGTGTGTGTTGCGAATGGATTCTCTTTAAATCTTTCCTAAAGCGATGTTAAAATTTGTGTTGAGGTTGGATTCACTTTTGCTACTTTCATCCATCCACCTTTAACCCACTCTTTATGACCAACTGGATCAGCTCGAGGTCGAGCTTTGGCGTGCTGCCGCTCAACAGACACATTCACTTTCAAATAAGTTGTTTTGGGGCTGTTTCTTTTACAGTGAAAAGCTGGAGAACCACCAGACGTAATCTAAAGGCTCGACTCTAAAATCCAACGCTTGTAGATTTCCGTGTAGATACTAAAACTAAGGCCAATAGACTTTCAGGCAAAGACATTCAAAAGGACAGTTCAAAAGCATCGTGCCTGCTTATTCAAATCTTCCACTGATCCCAGAGAATGTCCCAATGTGTTGTGATCTTCAGGGGAATAAGGCTTCTCTAGTCAGAACAGGTTAGACGTTGTAGTTGCTCCTTATTACAACCACCTCTGAGATAGCACTGACCCACATGGTAGGTTCAATCCTTCCATCCATCCATCCATCCATCCATCCATCCATCCATCCATCCATCCATCCATCCATCCATCCATCCATCCATCCATCCATCCATCCATCCATCCATCCATCCATCCATGGGTTTATATTAAATGGTTATCTCTCCCCAGGAAGACAAAGTCTATAGTCTTTTTTAAAACTTTCAAGGTGAAAACAGTTGATTTCAAAAGTGCAACTTTATGCAACTTTTTTGACACGTGTATCAGCCCTTTAAAAACTGTATTTCCCCTCTTATGGTAATGGGATCTGATCATATATTATTTTCTTTTAAAGTGGGACTCTATAAGTGCTTTAGCTCCACATAAGTTTATTTTTTGTCTTCAACTAAAGCCAGGCAAAATGATCAGCGAGGCTACTCAAAAACAACCTCAAGTGCAGGCCTGTTTGTTCAGTTGACACTCAAAAAAACGAATCTGGGCTTTAAAGCCTGGAAGAAGAAGTACAGTTCAGCAGACAGTGTACGGCATGTACCATATCGGAGAGGAGGGTGGTGGAATGTTCATTGAGGCTGATGACTCCCTCCCCCAGCTGGTGTCTCTTCAGACGATTTGAGAAGGTTCTCAGTTCCCTCTCCACCTTCGGCCCTGAATCGACATTAGCGAGCAGCTTCCAGAACGGCAGCCTATCGGTGGGATGGAGGAATCATTCAAGACCTGCTGCTGTCAGAGATGTCTCCTCAGAGTTCCTCTAGCTGATCCAGCAGTGTTTGACTTACCAACATTGGGAAATCAAACTTTGCTCGGCTTTGAATCCAAACTGAACTCACCACAGTGCTTTCATGTTGGGCAGCTCCCTGCTGTGCTCAGAGAGCTGTCGCACCGCCTCCTGGTGAGCCGCCTTCACATTGTGGGCCACACACACAGTATACTGCAGAGGGAGACGCTCCATACTAGGCAGGGACTGCAGGCAGAACTGCTGTCTGCTGTCCACCCCGAGCTGCAGGGGGATATCAGGAGATACAAGCACCGCAACACCTGCATGGGGGGAGACAGACGAGATGCACAGGACGACAGTGTGATGACTAAGACTGAGACTAAATCATCAGTTAGAGAACAGTGAGATCGTGTCGTACCTAGCAAACTGATGCTAGATGCTGGGACACAAATGGTCACAAATAGTCACCAGCCTCAGTTGCTAATAATCAAGTGCGTTTGATTCTGAACCAAACGAGTCTGCTTATATTCTTAAAACCTCAAGCTAGGATGTATTCCCCTGCTCTCTCCTAAGCATGTAAAGCTTTTGCGAAGTGAAATGACAAGATTGTGGATAGCAGAAAATTGTGTCCACAGATGTAGCAGCCCTTCAAGGAATGCCTTGCCCCTATCCGGTTACCTATACCCTCACCACTTCTCCCCCAACCTGACTCCCATCTTCTCCCTCCCAGGTTTAACTATCCCCTCTTCCTTTCCGCTCCGCGTGGCTATACGTCGTTCCCATCTAATGTTGGCAATACGCAGACCGGTATTGAGCCCAGCCATTAACCCAGACACCGACCTAGGAACTTGGCTTCTGTTTTTTGCACAAGCAGCTCAAAGTGCCCAAACAGAGGATTTGAGATTGGTTGCAGATCTATGAACTGATTAGACAGTCTGAGAAGCTGCTGAGAGCTTGGCTCACAAAGCCGCCCTCTCTAGTTTCAATACACTCACTGTTCTCCTGTAAGTAAGAACCGGGAGCGTGCAAGATACTTATGTACCAACCAGTTTCTAATCAGATTAATAGATTTGGAGATCAGTGTTTAAGTACTGCATAAAGCCAGTGAAGAGTCTTGAACCATTGGGTAATTCTCACGTGTTTGCAATGGATAATGTCAAAGAGATACTAGTAACACGTCAGCTGCTTCTCACAAGGTGTTAGGTCACCAACCTATTGCATCTTACAGCTTCATGTATGGCAGATAAATACAGTTTTTAATGAGTGTTTCCGACATATCATCTCCTGCGTTTTTAGGAGATTTCTTAATATATAAAATACTGCTGGTTATAAATCTCTGACTTAATCTTGAAGGAAGAGCATTTCAAAACAGTGTATGTTTTAACTGTACAGTGGAGACGAAAGCGGGTCAGGGCAGCAAACGTTCCAGCTTTATGGAAGGATGAAAGTGAAACACAGGCAGTGGAAATAGAAGCTACGAGAGTACACCAGACACCAGGCAGCCTCGAAGAAAGATGTGCAGATACAGCAAGCAGTGTGCAGTTAGACCAAAAGTGCCAACTGGATGGAAAGAGGAGTTGAAGTTTGCAAGCATGACTTCTGAAGTCACACCTATTTCTCACGAGAGCACATAACACAGAGCCTAAGACAAATGTGATGGTCGAAAAACTACTGTTCCAAACAGCACATTACAATTTGTAATCTTAGTTAAATCCTCGCCATGCCTTTCATCACCATACATTTCTGCTTATATTGTGTTCACCAGGATAATTCCTTTTTTTTTTGGTCTAAGCTTGATTATACTGTACGCATAACACACAAAAAATGCATTTGTGGATGTGCATGCTGGAGGAGAACAGGGAGTGGGTCATTTAAAGAAACTGACGCAGGTTTGAGGCTTTGAGTTACAGCCAAGGTGGGACGCTGGGAGGAAACGAATGGGGCGACCCTATTTTTAGAACAATTTCTTAAAAATTCCAAGCTTCCCATAAAACATTTTCCACTCGCTCTCAAAAGTAAAATTATACGTCCAACTGAAAATGTCCTCTCGCCTCCGAGGCAGCGACAAACGTAAAGATGAATGAAGTTTAACGGGCCGATTTGAATGATTTCACACACGCATTCCTCAATTTTACAGTCGTTGAGCGCATGCACAAATCAAATAACCTTCACACGCATGTGAACACGCAGGCTTTTTCTCACACGCTCACACACTCTGTCTTTACTGGGAAACTACAGACGTCCAAGAAAAACAGGGCAGGACTTATAGGACCGTAAAGGTTCTTCACTTCCTTTTACTCAGTGTTTGGAGGTGACCCCGTGCACCTTCTTGGGGGTCAGGATGGTTTTAATGGGCCGTCTAAACCTGCTTTGAGGGGAAAACGCTGCAGCCCGTCTCCCTGTTGCTGTGGACCAGATGGGCTGCACTCCTTTACCTGTCATATTTATACTGTTATTTACGACGACTGCGCACGCTTACGGAGCTGACTGGGGTTATAAAAATGCACACAGAAACAATCACCGAGTGGCTGTGCGCGTTCGGTGTGTGTTCAGGCATGTATTTCCTTAACAATGGAAATTTAGTTTCTGTGCCCAACCTCAAGAAATTGATGGCCACATAACTGGGATCCTGCCATGGTAGTAAATTTCCAAATCCCGCTTATTGAAAAAAAAAAATAACGAAGCACTTTCTCTGCTCTACTCCTCTCATCGCTCATCTTTATTGTTTTGACTGCGAGACACCGTGTTCTGTGAAAACACGGCCGTCCGCAGGTTTGATAAGAAGATCCCAGATGTAGATGACGTCATGCACCATCATCCCTGTTGGCCTAATCGGAGACATTTACGACGTGAGCGGCCCCAGACCACAGGCCCGCTGATGAGGATGCGATTGCGCACAGAAGCAGGTCCCTCAAAGCTCCATCGAAAGGTCCGGCTCGCTTGTGAAAAGCATGGCAGCCTGCTTTTCACAAAGCCTCCGCTGACGGAGTGAGTGATTCTTTGAGCGTTTCACATCTTTCTTTTTCGGGGGGTGTCAAGGTTTTCTCAGGGCAGCTGCCCGGGGACCTCTCCCTGACCTTTTTGAGCCAGTCACACACAGACACACACACGGGTGTTCCTGAGCAGCTTGTTTTCTCTCAACAAGGAAATCTCCCTGACTCCTTGATCTTGACTTGGCATAAACAGAGCAAAAGTAATGGAGAAATGCTTCAGCAGAAGCTGTTTAGAAAATGGATCTTAAAAAACAAAACACGTGTGAACCAATCTGTGAGGTGCCTGTGTCACTGCCACTCTTAGAATTTGACATCAAGATGAAATGTAGCAGTAATGGCATAAAAAAAAAAGGTTTCCTCATTTGTATGTGTGAAAACTTTAGACTCATTGTAACTCAACAAGTAGAGAGTTTTTTCGGTTGTTCTTGCTTGCCTAACATTTGATAGGATTTTTTTTCACAAAACTTTAAAACAGAATGATGATTTCACTTTTTTAATTTGTTTTTAAGAACCTCTGCTGAATCTTCTTAAGATGATCTGGAGGACAAAATTAGAAAAACCATGACAGTTTCATGAGTTTCATCTGTATCTCTCAGTTGTGCTTGGCTGCTCTCCACTGATATACCCGGCAACAAATGAGCAGCAGTCAAGTATCCCACATGGAAACACTGAGTCACAGAGTAAAATAAAACAAAAAAAGAATAAAAGATAAAGAGGAGAACCGGAGGGGGAAAATGGCTAAAATGAATTATGGCAACAGAGGTTATGCGTGCACACATAGACCAAACACCTCAGTGGTCTGAAGGTGGTTAAAACATTTTAAGAGGCTATAGTAAAATCAAACGATTAGATTTGTATCTATAATGCTACAAGAAAACTAAACAGGGCAATTGTAATACAAAAGGAAAACTGACATTTCTAAGTTGACACAAGTATAAATTAATTATATTAATCAACTACATGCAAACAGGACAAAATACATTTCAACTGGATTAATTAAATGGACATTTGTTAGATTAAATACATATGCATAAATGGTTACTAAATTGATAACTTGATTAAAATATTGAATTAAAAGGCTGAATCAGCTTTAAAAAATTTAGATTAATTTTCTTTCTTTTAATAACCGGTTAAAGACAAAACCTTGTTGAAAAAGACATATGGGGATAGAGATTTAGTTTGATGGAAAGCCTTGACAGAAAAATGTTTACAGTTTTAAAGGCCACCAGCATGTTTATCTTTTATTTGATCAATGATCCCAAAAGCTTCGCAAAGCAAAAGCTTCAGGATGCTGCTCTTTTGCGAGCAGGCTATGATGTTTTCATTTGACTTCTCCTCATTTGGCTTTCCTAACATCTAATCGGCTCTTCGCCGCTTTGCTGTTTTTGTATGGATAAAGACAGCTGGGGCTGTGACAAGTTCCTGCAGTTGCTAACATTCTCAAATGTCACTCTGCTCCACGTCTGCATACATTCTGTCTCCGGTCTTCCTGCTTTACTTCTACATCCTCCCTTACAATGTCTTTCTTGTTGTTTTTTTTTCCTAATTCTTCTCAGAATCACCTGTGCCGGCGTGCTGTGTTTAAGTCTGCTTTGTTGCTCCAAGTTTCAGTCCCTCCGTCTTAAGTCTTCGACCATCCCCAGAGGTCCTCTGAGGTTAGCAATGTCAGTCACACCCCAACAGCTCCCACCACATTTATAATGCTCTCCTCTGACTAACTAGAGTCAGTGAAGACAGGTCACATGCAAACGCGTCACGTGTGCAACAGTCAAGAGGTTCAAACAGCTGTCCTAATATTATATTAAAACGGCAGCATGTTTGCTCCCACTAGCCGAATTCAGGAAGAGAAGCTGCATCATAGCTATAGGATTCCAACTGAAGGGAGATTTATGTACGCATGAGAAATCATACAGCCCTCATATAGTAAGAACCCCAACAGGCAGACTGAGACTCCTGAGTGTCTTTTTTCGAAGCGGCATAAAAATAAGCTTTACAAAATGATATTTGATATTTAACGGGGTATGCATAAAAGATTATTTTGGATATGGTCTTTCCTTTATACTGAGCAAATGATCTGACCTCTACATTCAATAAGATTTGCTTCATGAGAGCTAAAACAAATATGTATGCTTAGACTTAAACTCTCTGTGATGTTACATTTAGAGTAATTTGAAGCGCCGTAAGGGTTTACATTTATGTCTATAGCTGTTGGATCAATATGGAGCCCAATAATTTACATCATGCAAATCAAACAGCCAAATTAAAGCTACAAAGCCGTGTGTATCATATTTGATTAATACAGTTTCTATAGTTTTCCTTTACATCTTTCTATGGTAAAAATAAAATTTGTTGGCACCATCTGACATACCTGATACTAGAGGGCAGAAGACTATTCTACAATAATTTTGACTCATTGTACATCAAAAAAGGTAAATATACAATGATACTTTTATACAATAATACTTTTTAAAAAATTCAAATTTTGTTAAGGGGCCAAATAAAATCATTAGAATTTTCTCTATTTTGTTTTCGATGAGGCTTTAAAGGATAAAAACATCCTTTTTTAGCTTTTATGTTAAAAAACATTTACTTTCAATGTCAAGCATAATCTGCTATGTTTAAGACTGTGTGTGTGTGTATTCTTTTTTCCATTTTTTTCCCCGTGCAAAGTTCTTTGGAGAAACTAAACAAAATGAGCAAAGTCTTTTCTCACAAGGTGGAAACGGATTTAAGTCATGTGACTTTAGTTAAGCTCACACGGTTATGTAACATACCGAAATGCGAAGGACTGCATTTGTGCACACACGTGTGCATTTGCTTCTGTCAGTAGGTGCATGAATGTGAGCGAGGCTGTTAACGCTCAGTGAAGTCATGATAAATGAATGTTTATGTCATGTCTTCCATTGTGGATGATGTCTTTACTTTTGTCCCTTTGCGTCCCACACTGACACAACCTAAATATTTCACCACAGTGAGTTTTTAACAAAAAGATTTAGCTGTTGACATTTCAATAATTCATTTAAATCTCCAAAAGGTTGATAAAAAGTCTCAAATGTCTGAAAAAATGACAAATTTGATTTTTTTTAATTGATTGTATTTTTCCTGTTTCTTTTTGTTGAATAGGTTAACAGAGACATTTTGTATACACTGGGCACGTTTCATTGTGTTAAATCACCTATTCCCTTAAAAAACATCACGAACATTTCAGGTCCTCATCATTTCAGGGTCTCTTTTCCTTTATTTCTCGTTTCCCAAACAGTCATAGCTTTTCAGAGGAGTGGACTGCATGAATTGTAAGCGCCTGGATACTTTTATGCAACATGATGGCGTTAAAATGTGGATCAACCAGTCTGATTCTGCAGTTTCAACATCTGAAATGCCGTCTTCGAACTACTCTCAGTTGTATTTGACACAACAGGTCAAACATAATATCATATAAATGTATAAAGCGAACAAACAACTGTTGAATGCTAACAATCACATAATCAGTCTCGGATGACTGGCTGGTTTGAACAGCAGCTCAGATGCCAAACACCAGATTAAGACAACATGAGAGTCCAAAGTCTCTGAGCATAACGCTGTACTCTAATGCACAAATACGTAACCACAAACACTGTACACGCTCCTCATCAGTCACATTAACCATTTACATCCGCTAGTGGGTCCTGTCTTCCTGATTTGCCCCAGGAGAAAATCTGGGGCACCAGACACCAAAATCTAACACCCCAAATATAAACCGTTGAGTTATACAAGTCAGGAGAGCCCTCATCCAAACGGTCCTTTTTATAGAGACAAAAGGCAATTACACCACGATCACTGTGAGTTAATCTAAGATGCTAAAGGTGGTTTGCTTCCCTTTGTAGTCTAATCTCTAAATTAAAAAACCAGCATGCCACAGACAGTATAAGGTTACAATTTGGGTCTGCCTGGGTATATTGGCTGTGGAACCAATATATCAACATAGTTATAGAGATGCCGTGAAGACTTGAAGACTTTTTTTCTCTTTAAACACAAACACTTACATGAGAGGTTGAGGGGGTAAGAAAACACTACACTGTCCAAAGGTCTTCCCTCACGCCCTAGGATTCACACCGCACATTGTGGACCAGCTGATGAGGAGTCAAATGACCACATCCCTCGGTAAATGTGCAGAAACAGCTGACCCCGTGCCATATTAGATTAGAGCAGATCTCTGCATTTGTGTCTGCAGAGAGGAGCCTTTGCTCACTGATTGCCGGTCAGTCCCGTCCCTTACCTGATGAACCCAGGAAGTAGCGTTCCAGGGCAGAGCCAAACCCAGCGGGAGTGTCCTTAAGATCACTGACGATGAAGGGCTGCATTGTTGCATTTTGATCATTTATGGGCCAGGTTTGACCCCGAACACTGGCACCCCCATACCAGGACACGTTGGCCATGGAGAAACAGTCCTGTCAATGGCCCAAAAAAACAGAAACAATCAATAAATGTCTAGTTTATTCTGACTCCTGTAGAAAAAGATATGGTCAAACCTTTCATTCCAGTTTATTTTTGTTTTTACATTCTCAAATATCTAAAGGTCCAATGATGTTTTGTTTATTAGTGCATCCTGATACTTCAGTGCATTCAAATTAAAAGACTAAGAAATATTTCTCTGAACATTTCCGTTGCATGGGCCATTGTGAATTTCAACTATGAGGGAATGCAAATGACATATTTATAGGCAACTGAAAGATTAGCGTATACAATTTAAACGCAAGGTATTATGCTGGTACATGAGACTGTCTAAGAAAGTATGGCACGCACTGGGGATTGAATGACAAGAGGGTTTTCTAAGAGAAAGCTCCCCCCACCTCCAACACCCCTCACATACCTCTGAAATCCGCAAACTGGAAGCTCCTTAATTTTTATTTCATGCCTCCTGCCAACTGGTCACCTGACAGGTTCGGGGCAGGATTTGGGAAATTAGGACAACGGCTACTTGGGCATGGGGAGCTTTGCTGGGAACAGTAAGGCCACATGGCAGGCCGTTATAGGGGAGAACGTTAAAGCGTGGGCGGACTGACCTTCCCAAGGATCGTTTGAAAAAGTTCTGTGCATTTGAGAATTAAATTAAATAACACTTGAGCTGTACAGAATTGTGCAGGAAATAAATGTTTATCGAAATGAAAAAGATTCCATGTGGTTCTAGTCTCCAAATGAATCAAGTGGCACCTTAAAGTTGTGAATATCCAAAACTCAAGAACATCTCAAGGGCTTTGATGGACTTTAGAAGTGTTGTGTTCCACATAATGGCTGCCTAATATCGAAACTCCTACTGAATCACAAAAAAAAAATGGATATGACTTATTTAAGCATTTCAAATTCATAAAAGCCACAAAAATGATAGCCTCCTGGGAAAATTGATAATTCAAGATGGGGAAGGATAATTCACATATGCCTTATTTAAAAAAAAAAAATGTGGATAAAATCAAGCATCTCCTACTTGCGTTGGTCCCAAGTATAAATCTTGTGTAATACTCCAATGGTACATGTCCCTTCACAAAGCAGAGGCCCTCAGTCACGTGTTTCAAACAGGCTTAGTAATAGTTTTCTCGTTAAGAAATGAAAATCTGTGATCAAATTATTTTATGAAACTGTTTTGTTTTGTATTCGGTGTTATTTTTTGCGGTGCAGACTGACTCTGTGCACTGTGTGCGCACCTACCTTCAGCTCCACATCACAGTGCACCGGCGCCCAGGTCATGCTGTAGCACTCCGTCTCCGCATCCTCATTCGCCTCCAGCGAGATCTTCACCTCGGCCACCGAGTCCCACGTGTAGCAGAACTCGGTCTTGTTGAGCCAGCACAGGTTCCTCACGAAGGGAACCTCGATGTCCGGGTTCCCCACGTTCCCCACGTCTATCTCCACGTACGTCTTGTCCTCCGCCAGAGTCTGGATGACCAGCGAGTGGGTCCTTCTCTCCCAGATCAGACCGCTAAAAGTCCCCCTGAGGATCCAGTTCTTGTTGGGCTGGTCCACCACTTGCCAGTATATGATCCCAATGGTCATTACAAAGAAGACGGCCACCCCGAGACAGGCAATCGCTCCTTTCCAGGTCTCGTTCATCTCCTTCAGTCCCGTGTCCCATGTTACCTCGGGGATGGGGCTGGGGTTCCTATTTCGAGCGTGGGGCATGTTGTTTTTTGAGACCAACAAAGACTCAGACACGAAAAAAGCTGCAGAAACCTCTGAACGACAAAAATCTCTGTTGCCTCATCATGTAAAGGTGCTGTCAGTGAGGCTGCAGTGTAAGCCAGACTTCTCTCTATCTTTACAAGCGTTTACTCTCCTGTTTGTTTTTTTGCGCAATTGTGCCAGCAACAGAGACCTGTCATGTGAAGAAAGCTGTGAGGATAAAATAAAAATAAAAAAGAGCGAGGAAACGATAGAGTATAGATTGATATTTGACTTACCACGGACTGACGCTGTTTAAAAAGAGTTGGATTTGTGAATTGCTTTGGCTGCAGTGAGCTCATGAACAGCCCGGAGCCGGGTTTGGCAGCAATGCCTACGAATAGCTCCTAAGACGCTCTCTTGCTTGCCCTGCACTTTCTGACGTAACGCCGGGTTGTTTCTTCGGGGGAACGTTAGAGAGAGGGAAACGGGGATCAAGAGGGTTTGACAAAGTATTAGAGATGCCCGTCGCGATGAGGAGGCCACGGGCAGCCCGGATGGGAAGGGAGGGAACCCCCCCTACCCATGCGTGCAGGCACATTCTGCCTGCGCTCTCCGTGCGTAAAAATTGTTCGGAGTTGTCATCTGGTGGTTTGGTAGACAGAGAGGTGTGTCAATTAGACATGGCAAAGTCAGGGCGCATTACATTTTCTATTCAAATGGCTTTATCTGACATGTATCACTTTATTTGTGAGTGAAAAATAACTAACACAACGTTTTGGACAATGGGTTTTAACTGTTACCTTCAGTTTAAGCGAGTCAACCCTGATCAATTTCACTTTGTTCTGAGAAGGTAAAATGTCATTGCAATTTATTTGGGTAAAATGCCCAGAGCTCTACGTGTTAGTCTTTTCCCAAAACGCACATTAAGACATTTCAATAGAATAAAATAAACAAATCACAGCCTGTCTTTTGAGGAATGTGCCATACCTTCTCAGAAAATTGTTTCCAACCCCATATTATCAACATGTTGAAACTAAAGTTATTGAAATAAATATGATCGGCCGCAGTCATTACAACTGACATTAAAATGTAGTTAGGACTTTTTCTTTAAACAATCATTAAGAGTGAGATGAGTTTAGTGTGTTTACAAATGCCTGTTGGCTTGTTTAAGGTTCACTGGATCTAATGTGCATTGGTAGACTTTATTGATTTGTGCAGAAAAAAATGTGAGCAAAAAAGGGGGAAAAAATCCAGCCACTGACTGTTGTGGCATAAATAACATAGATTGTGTGATGTGTAATTTCTTGTATGAATCACGGGGTCTGCATAAGACGTCTGAGGGCAAGAATGGTGTTTATGGGTGGCTCAAGGGTAGCGGGTGATGGTGTGATTTGTCACGATGGCATTTAGACTGTCAACATCTATTGTGTCTGGAGTTGTAATGTCAACATAGTGCTACTGGTTCAACCCTATTGCTCAGATTAAACTTGTTTTCTGAGCCAATAGAAATGCATGACATCGAATCAAATAAAAAAGAATGCCAAAAGTAATTCTGAACGTAACTTTTATCAGTTCATTCCAGTTACAATCTATTCATCTGAACAATTTGTTATTGATCTATGGTCATGGCTCTAATGGCATCCAACAGCAACTTTATTAGACCCAAAAATAAGACAAGCGGAATCATACCTTGAACAATGTTGTGTTTGTAGGTTGAGGTCTTCGGTGGTACTGTGCACCAGATATCCTAGTGTCGGCTGACATACCTTGAAGATCAGTTCCCCCTGTCCCCGTTTATGCATTTCAGCCCTCCTGATCCATCACATAGCTCTGGCAGAGGCAGAGACACTGGATAAGGCTGTGGGAACCTGTGTGAAAATATACACTTTAACTTAACGCATGTGGTCAGTTTAAAGAAATATCCGGTAATATGAATAAAACTCTAACTATTAAGTGATGGCATTAAAACATGATCTTCTTGATAAAAAAACAAAGGCGCTTCTTTCTGCACCGATTTGTTTAAGCATGAAAAAGGGTGCTTAACAGTCAGTGTGTCTGTTGTCATGTGATGGAGTCTTGCACGAAGACATAAACGTGCTCTGTTGATGAACCCTGAACTTCAAGTTCACAATAAGCCCAGCGGCAGTCCACCTCCTGGGTTAGAGGTCACGTTGATGACTTCAACGGAACATCCAGGGGGGAGGGTCTAAATTTACACACCATCCAAACTGCTCATGACCCTCTTGGCTAATAATAGTTAGAGGACTGCTGCGTGGCATGCACCCGCTCCCTCTGCGTGTGTGAACATGGGATCTGAAAAAAACAGAAGAATCTGACCTGAATTGGTCACCATCTCCAACCGTTCATTTAGTGTTGATGGCAAGGGGGCAAGAGTTTAATTAGGTATGGTGAGGACAGGCTAATGGTTTATGGTTTGTGTGTCAAAGTGTACCCCTCCCTCCAAGCTGCAATTATTTCAAAAATATATCCTGGTGTTAATGTAATGGTAGAAGTAACTCTGAGCTTCCTTTGTAAAGACCCAAATAATAGCAAGATAAAGTGTTCACTTCTATGCAAAAAAACAAAACAAACCCCCCCCACAAAAAATCACCATATTGCCTTCAATATTAAATCTCTCAGTTAATAACACTTTCATAAAATTCCATTTATACTCAATTAGTTGATTAATACTTGTAAATTATGTCACATCAGAGCTCATGGTAATGGCTTTGACAAAAAAGCTATTCCTGAATCTAATGTTGCGTGATTTGATGGATCTGTAGCGCGTTCTGTAATCATCATTTTTAACAGATAAAATGTGGGATCCTTGAGGATGCTGTCTGCCTTTTTGAGTCAACTGTTAAAGGTGTAATCCGGGACAAGCAGCTGTTGATTTATGTGGCATTTCGCAGTCTTTGCCGACACTCCGTTTGCTGCAGAGCTGCTGCCACTCAACAGTAGAGCATCATTTGTGTGGACTCTCTTAATGGGCTAGTGGTAACATGACGTTCGTAGCTGTGCCCTGCCTTTTTGACGTGTTTGTTGTCTAAGAAAGGACCTCTGAGGTGAATTTGCCACATTTGGACAACATGTTTAGTAAAGCTCATAAGTCTCTTTTTGTCTATGAGTTGCTGTCACCAGTCACAAAGTTCAGATTAAAGTTTATCTTTTCTGGTAATTTAGTTTTGAATCTTGGGTACCTTTATGTTAGCTTTGCCAACTTCATATGTACAGTACTTGACGTATAGTGAAGATGAATAAGAATAATACTTGAAAATGTCTTAAAATCTTAAGGATGTTTTAAAACATTTAATATCATGCCTTTGCAAAATTTCTTACTGACTTCTCTATCTTCAGTGTCAGAAATATGTTCAATGTTTGTGTCAACGTACATTGAGCTGTTTTAGGTGATGAATAATTGTGGGGATAGGAAAGCACAGAGGTCCACATTCTCCACCTCTGAAACATCAAAAACAGATTGTGAAGATGAAAATAGTTGCCCCAAGATATGAGGACCATCTCCTCTGATGGAGTCCTGTCTCATTCCCGCTTGTGGTACATATCACCCCAACTGTAACAGCCAGTGACAAAATATTGTGGTTGTTGTCCTCTGTGAAACCATGCCATAAGGTTAGGTGCTTCTTCTTTATCTGATTCCAAGTGTAGATTGTGTGTCTTGCAGAATCCAGTGGTCCTCCTTTGAGGAAAAGTTTCACTGAGAAACACAACAAAAGCAGATCTTGTTACAAGCCCAAAATACAATATATCTTTCATAATCTTTAAGGTTTGTGTCTGGATCCTCAATTGGCTGTTTTTCCCCTTCTCTAGGATATTCAATACCAACTACTTCTCTGATTGCTTTAGAGTTTGAAGGGGAAAGTTTCCATGCGGCTGCAGTGCCTGATCTTGGCGGGACAATCCCACTGTAGACTGAAGTGTTTCCGTCCATCCACCTCTCATTCCTTCACCCAAACTTTCTCCCCTTTTTGTGCTGTCTCACAAACACTTTCCACTTCCACAGGCGTTGACCCTCTCCTCATTTTGCTCTACATATGTACATGCCCATCACGAAATGTGAGCCAAAAGTATTTTTTGTTGTAAAAACAGTGACCTCTGTTGAGTCTCTCAACCAAAACTTTTAAAGGAAAAATGCTGAAAGTCAGCACCAACACTTTTTGTCTGATGAGGTGTCATTTACAGCACGTATAAGTCATGTAACTGTGTGAAAAGCTGTATGTATTCCTGCAGCTGTGTAGGTGTATGTTGTGCTGCCAAAATGCATGCTGCATAAATGCCAGACAGTTATGCTCCAGAGGAAGACTTTAGCTTTATGGAGTATATCTAGATTTATTGTCAACACTGAAAAGTAATGACATCAATGGAGCTACTGTATCATAAGCTTTTAAGCAGTCGTTCAAAAAGCAACTAAAACTGATGAATCAAGTCTGCACTGCATCTGCAAGTCTGAATTACATCTATAAATGGCAGAGTTGGACAAGAGTGTGTGACCAGACCTTTGGCGGAAGGCTGAACTGGTTCATGTTGCAGGCCCCACATTCTCCCCCTGAACCTGGCCTTGTCTGCACTGACTGACGCTTTCCTAAACTCTGGCAGCCGGACTGATGTTATGGTTGCAGCTACTACTACTGCTTCTGCACCATCTGCAAGCTGCTAGTCTCAGGCCAAGGAGAGATCAGGGTTGTACATTTTCTGTGGATAACAAAATGCAGACTCACAAACAAGTGTGTCTCTGCGAAAAACGAGTACAAGTCTTTTCCATGGAAATCTGTGCGCTGTTCCTTTATTTTTTCCTATTAAATGCCACATCACATCTGGAGTTTATTCAACATGTGACATCTGCACTTGGAAGCCGTCGCTATGAACTCAGAAAAAGCACTCAAAGGAGCTGTCGATGCAAGTGAAGCAGTTTTATTCCTAGAACACAAAAAAAATGTAAACTCTGGTATTAAATTAACAGCCTGGGTGGGAAAAAATAATTTTCACCAATAGATCTGCTTGTCCACAGTAGGTATGAATGGTGGAGGGTCAGGTGATGAATTTCAGTGTTAAAGAAAATGCTATCACAGCACTCAAACGTAGAGTTAGGGGCATCACACGGTTTACACAAGTAACACATGAAGAGTGGTTTAATTTGGCCACAAATGTAAAATAAATTAACAGCAGCCTTTGAAGTTGAATATGATTTTAAGGAAATTGTTAAGTATTTTACATTTAAGAATACATTTTAGAATATAAAATAATAATTGCATTCTGTTTTTCATGAAAAGGTTATTTTTATACAGGTAATAAATGTTACCTGTAAAGGAAAATACGATAGTTTTTAAAATATTCAAAACGTATAAAAAAAAAAAATGCAATAATCTTTCTTTCAAATTAAGAATGATTTTATGAGTGCCTGCACTTTTCAATCCAATTTTCAAGAAACTAGAGCACTTCTTGTGTTTTTTCTTGTAGATCTGCAGCAAGCAGCTCTTACTAGTGGAACTTAGGATAAAATTGGCTTTGTATTTCTATTGAATCTTGAATATCTAATAGGATTATGACTTACCTAGTTTAGTTTATCTAATTATTTAAACCCCATGAGCATAATTTGAAGTTGAACAAATGTTGATTTAATCCACATGGCACCCTTACAGAGAATAGTCACATGGAAATGGTACAACCGCCATTCAGCTACAGGAATGATGTAATGCAAGTTCATTTAAAATGTCCCGCATATGACTGCCATTACATAAAGCAGTGTTAGCTTCGGGATAAGTCTGGGGTTTTTTGCATTTCCCCACTTGCAATGAGTACAAAGTGGTTCATCTACAGTTCAGGACGACGGTAATTAAATTGTTCATGCTGAGAGACATTCAATAAGCCACTGTCGAGGCCTATGTTTATTGTTTGTTTCATCTTAAAGCTATTGTTTTCTTTTCCTGATCTTCTAAATACACTTGATTGTGGTAGGAGTACCAAAGACAAATAGGACAATCCCGGATTATTTACGGACATTCCAAAAGCCAGTCTCTGTGACAATCAGAGATAATAGTTTTTACTTTTTTGTAGAATGTGGTGCAGGTTCCAAATACAGGTAAACAACAAATGCTGAAGAAAAAAGAAAAAAAACTGTGGAGAACTGTAGGGCATACATGACAGACTGATACAGTTTGATAAAATGTCTGTGTCAACTGGTTGACATTACAACAACCACATAACAATCCAAAGCCTAAGTCCCTCCACACACATACACTTCATGGCATCTTAACTGATGGAAACTCCCCTCCCTTGCAGTGTGGGCTGTCAGTGTGGTCAATTTTCTTGCCAGGTCTGAACCAGTTGAGCAGAGACTCATGTTCCACTCAGGGGGCCTTCAATCATTCCTACCCTTGCTGCAGGTGCATCTTGATATGGTCTGAGTTGAGACTCTGGCACAGGAGGTCTGAAGCAGAGATGGAACAAGGTCTCCCTCTGCTGCTTCAGCGCCATACATGCTCTGAGAAAATGATCAATGCAACAGGATTCCTTAACTCTGTAATCAAAGGAACCCCTTAAATGGGAACAAATGGGAACACATGGGAGTAGAGTCAAATGAGGATTATATACAAACACACCAATCCCCCAATTCAACTGTTTTGTTCACACTAAAATATGTGATTTTTTTATACATATATATCTATTTATGCCTCTTGTGTTGATCTCAAGTGGCAGGTTAGCTAGCATGTAAATAGACTTGAACAAAATCTAAAGTTACTGAATAGTAGCAACAGTCTAGTCCTGCAGATGTATGAACTTCACTCGAAGGGCATACGGTGACTACAGTGCGCATGCGTACCATAGTTATCCCGGAAGCACATTCATGCACGTGTATCGTTTGTCAACCTTGAGAAACTACAAATGAGAGAGCCAGCAGCGTAGGTCTGCTCTCAAGCATCATGCCCGTAACACGAATATTGTAAGTAACAAGGTATTATATTAAGAGTACAAACCTACAGTAACGGGCAGCAGCTCTTCGCTGTTTTATTTCATGATGTTATTGTTTGGTAACGTAGCAAACCCAGCTAACTTTAGCTTGTAACCGAGTAGACGGGTTGTTTTTTGTCAATTTCGTGCTGACCACAAGCTGTTTGGTAATAACTATACATTTTTATCACATATTAAATGTTTATCTTGTCTAATATCCTCACGAAATTGGTTAACTTCTGTGATGGGCACACCATTAGCTTTAGCCAACTATGTTAAAAACAAACGGCTGCTAGCATGCAGTCTGAGTCAAGGCACACTGACAGTGTGGTCATGGTCGGCAGGGCGATGGGCTCTATAGCTACATATTTTTAAAGCATTTGGCTAATAATGTCTCATTATGTCTTCAAACAAGAATTTATAAAACAATCAAGCTTGACACATGAACATTATGAAGCATGTAGGTATGGTATAGAGCCACTTACATGAATACAATTAGATATGCAATTTATTAAGCTAAAAAAACAGTCACAACAGTTTTTATGTCACACTGTAATGACATGAAAATATTATATGTTCGCATGCAGATTGATATAAAATGTTGCACAAGAATATATGAGGTACGTTTGGACAGATGGATAAGAATCCTTCTATCCTTCCATTTCTTTCCTGCTTATTTGAGGGTGAGACATAAAGGCAACAGGTCTCCTTTAGCGACACACTCAGCCTCCTCCTAGGGGTTCCCGAGGCAGTCGCGCAACCAAAAGACATATGTAATCCCTCCAGAGACTTCTGGGTCTTCTCCCAGTTGGATAAACCCATTTAGGGATAAAAACTCCAAAGGGTGTGCTTCTCATTTGTGTTGATCCATAAAATAGCCATCCTTGTTCCAAATAACAAATATTTCAGGGTTTCCGAAAACCTGTAGGTTTGGAGACGATAACGTGTATGACATGTGTCTGCCTCCTCATCTCTTCTCAGACGCAATGTCTACCAGTTTGGGAACCCCCAGCTGAGGATCTTTAGACCTAACTGGTTTTTGACCCTGGTGCGGCCGGGAAAAGAGCAGCCTCCTGACACTGTCCAGTTTCGCGTCCCCATGGAGTAAGTCTTTGCTGACAAATGTCCCATATCCAAGTGTTGTTGGACATGATGCTATTGCCTGGTAGACAGCTCTGTATTAGACATGTACCGATCTTTTTTTTCCAGACCGGAACTAATTTATCAGATACCTGAATGTAAATTCTTAAAGATAATGACAAAAAACAAAAAAGATCATATATGAAGTAATAATAAACACGAAAAAAGTAGGGTGTTATTATTGTGTAAAATTGCACATAGCCTTTCTAAAGGTGAAGAATGAATGTTTGTTCTGTTGTTATTACTCTTTTTGCCTTTGTATCATTGTGTACATTAGGCTATTACTTTATTACCGAAGGATGTAAGGATGCTCTTTCAAAGCCTTGTCAGTCACAGAGTGTTTCTGACCAGACACACATCAGTTCTCTTCCCAAGTATTCAGTGTTTTTTTTCTTCTGCTCAAAATGGCTGGTAAAAAGGTAATAAAAAGACACACAAAACACAGATGTTCTCCAAATGTAACAATAACAATTCCATCCATTTCTGCCTGTTTATTGCAGGATCAGCAAACAAACAGCCATTTAGACTGAGTCCCTTTTTAGATCAATTTATTATCATATGTTAACCCTTCAGCCCTTAGTTAAATAAAGACCAAAGTCATGCTAAAGCATAACTTGTGCTTTTTATCCATCAGACTTTTACAATGAATTCCCTTTCTTTTTCAGCTCAACATTAGCTGTGTGTAACAGAGGAAACCCTTCAGAACCAAACAATTAAACCTAAAAACTTTATAATTAAATAAAAGCTTTTGAAAAACAACTGGCACATTTTCTGACATCAAAGTCAATCAGGTGAGATCCAGATGGGAGAGAGCAAACATGGTGCCAGGAATGCAGCCGCCACTGATCTCACAAAGTTACCGTTTCAAGTGTTGAAATGTCAGCGGGTGAAGAAAGAGTTGGACACAAATCCAACCGGCATGATTTGTTAATTTCGTTGCCAGTGATAGATTCAAAGATTTGACTCATCTCAAATAAGCCCGTGGCCTTTTGGCTGAGTATGAATGCCCTAAATTAGAATTGAACAGTTCTCACAACCACTGTGGCAGATGTCAACGTGGTTTCAAATTTTTTGCCTGAGTTTGATCTCTTCAAAGATTAAGATTTGAGCCTGTATATTCAGCATATCCATGCACATAGGCTTGTATATGCTTTAATTTGAAAATATTTTGAGAAATCTATCCTGTTGAGTTGTCTCTCATATTTCAGTTGAACTTTTGGCCTTTCTGTTATGCACTAAAACTAGAGGAGTAACTTATTACTTGTTTTAGCTATCACGTATAAACAAAATCAGGATTACTGATCTTGATTTTAAATTTGTCCTCCCTTTTTACTTTTTTAGAGTAACTTGAAGTTGACTGGAAGTTAAGGTAATATTTACTGAACACATGTCTTACCTTTTAGGCTTCAGCACTGTAAATACTTCTCGCTGCTCAACTACAGACGTGTACCTGGAGTTGGGCATCGCGGCCACCAGGTGGTGTGACAGCCTCAGGAACCGAAAACATACCTCGGTCCTTGGCAACTTAGACAGTTTGTACTTTTTCCTGAATATTGTTGGTACTGGTAGTTGCAGTGATGACACACACAAGAGGCTGTCATGAGGAGGGACTTTGGTTGTGTTGTTATTTATCCGTACAGGGAAAGTAGAGATGAGGTTTTGGACATCACGATGTCAAACGTCAGTCCCCTAAATGAACCATTATTAATACCTACAGTGAAACTAAAAGCATCGTGTTCTCGGTAATTTTCCAAAACTCATGTAGTATTCCATACATCACAATGTTTGAGGACCTCACCATTTTGGATGGTAACACCTTTGTAATGAGCACGTCAGCGCACAACTAATGGCTCGTGGGGAGTTTATGTATCTGGTCTCAGTTTGATGGGTTGAGACGATACATATTTCGTCAAAGAGAACTTCTGGAGGCCCTCCGCAGTCAATACCAGCAGTGATGAGCTGATATTTGACTGTCCGTGAGCCAAGGTTACTGGGGTTAGCAGTGCTCCTCAGGCGAAGAGGGGCCCAGAACCCTCACTAAGGAGTAAAAAATTGAAGTTTGTAGCAGATCATCGTTGTGTCTCTGGTGGGGTTTAGACCATAATCTGTTCATCCAGGTGCTTGGCCTCCCACTCTGATTTTTGCCTCTTCTCTGCCAAACTCCTAGGGTGCTTATGTAATGTGTGTGTGTGTGTGTGTGTGTGTGCTCGCGCGCACTTGTCAGTGTGGGTAAGTCAGTTTGTGAGGATGGTGTGTGACTTTGTGTACATATGCACAAAAGTGGGTAAGTGCAGGGTGCGTGTGTGTTTTGTAAGGGTGTGTAAGGTTATTTTTTCTTGCAGTCTTTGATGCCTGCGAGAGCCGTACGGCAGATTGATAGGATGCTGGGGCCTCCGTGTGTGCTTAAAAGACTGTTATTTTTCCCCTATTCATGCAAACAATGTAGTAAGAGGACACACATGGAGAGACAATGACACAAACCAAATATCACTCCCACTCCCGGCTTATTGATAAGTCTGAGTCATAGTGGCAGTGAAAGCTGTTGTTGTAGTTATGATTCTCGAGGGTAGGCGGTGTAAGCGTGGGTAGATTCTTGGGCCAAGCATCTGCTAATGAGAAGAGGGGACGCTGTCCTGTCAGGGCAGTCACACAGGGCCACTTTTATCCCGGTGACACCTGGGAGTCGCATATCCTCAGTAGTTTACCCTCTCCTTTTGTTGCCGTCGTCTATTTTTGTTTTTGTTCGCTCACTCCTTTGCTAGCATCTGTTCATCTTTCTCCGACCTTTTCTTCCATCCCACCCCGGGCTCTGCGGCTCATTGTGCTTTTCTTAAATGCCTTGCCACACATCCAAAACCAAACCCTCTTTGGCGCTGCTTGTTCAAAACACCTGGGCAGCATTTTCTCCTAAGTCTGTTTCTACCTGCTCGAGGGGAAGCATTTGTTTGTCTACAATTGTTCTAGGACTGTTTGTACTATGGAAGTATTTCTTCTCTGCTCTAGAACCTCATCGAATTTCTCGGCTTACACGCACACAGTTGTGCCACTCACCTGGCATGGCCGGTTGCCAGTGCTTAACTGCACAAAGAGAAGAACGCACCATTGAATTTTCTGTTTGGTCTGCCACCGGGTCGGATTTTGGTCAATTGAAACCTATAACCATGAAACCAGACAGCGCCTTGGTATGTAAGTGTAGTCGGACTGGAGACGCGTATCATATGTAACAGGCTCTTTACATTACAAACAGAACCGGTCCATTTATGGCAAAAGGCTTCAGGATGACAAGGATAGGATCACTTTTTAGGATTCACGTCAACAGCGCAGCTCTGATCGGAACTTTAATATGACTGAAGAACTTTTGCCAACCAGAACCTGGTGTCTTCTTCAATGCCACCCCCCCCATAAACACACACACACCTTTGCACCCCAGGACGCGTCAATCCTGTTTTGAAAAGGGCTCCTAAATTTGCCCGTTGACTAGTTCCATGCGATAAAAGTTTAGATCCAGTCATTGTTTATGCTAAAAATAAATGATGTTATTACATCGTTTCAACGGCTACTAAATGAGTGTGATTAGCTTTTCAGACCTGGCTGCCCGTAACAAGTTAAGTGACACCCGACGACTCGTCCTTTGATCTATTTCTGCTTTGCTGAAAGGCCCAGGCCCCAACAATGAATGTAATCCTTCACACGCTGCTCTTTTACTCTCAAATTCTCAATTGTCTCTTTGCTCCCTAAATCTCAGGTTCCTTAATGGCTTCCCCCCGAAACAAAGTCTTCCATTATGATCTTGATACTTAGTGTTGAGCAACTTCAGTGCATGTATTGTCTGTGTAGATGGGAGTGTTAAAGTAGTGTGCATATCTTAACCCAGCCCGACAATGGGTTTGCCAACAATGAGGAGCGGCTTTCTTCTGCCTTTCATCTGTACAGAACACAACTCTCTTGTTTCATTCTCACCGCTAAGCCACCCTGACACAATGTACTTTGATGTTGTGTGCGTGCATGCGCCGACTATGCGTATGGGCTGTTTGGTGTACCCTCAGTGTTTATGTGTGTTTGTAAAGTGTGTTTACAAAGGTCGCACGTGAAGTCTGTGAGACTTATTAGTGCAAACAATATTTCATGTCAAAGAGACACATTTTTTTTCTCGGTATTCTTTTGAAACCACAGGTCGCTGTTCAACTTTTCAAATTTGCGCTGGTAAAAGCGTGCTGTTTGTCTTTGAAGTTTTCCGGTGCCCGGCACGTACGGTAAATCCTCGTGGGATTTTCCATTGGTACATTCGCGGAACTTTTCACTATTGATCGAAAGAGCGATCCAGTGGACGAGTCCTGGCGAGAGTTTAAGGCCTGGGTCAAGTTTGACGGGGTTCGCCCCGGCGGTCACCGGTTGCTCTGGGCAGCGTATGGGGGCCTGGCTGTTCCTGACCCTGAAGTGGGATGGGAGCAGAGATCCCTCCGGGATGCAGTAAGGACCTGTCAGCTGTGACTGCGCAGCTCTGTGTGCTGCTGCATCATTCCTCCGTGCAACCCCCCCCCCCCCTCCGGTAATTCCTAAACGTAATCCTCCGACCGACGAGGCACTATAAAAAGCCTCAAAGTAGATTTGGCCCGTTTTATATCCAACGAGAACCCACAAAAAAGGCCATACAGCGGTTTTTCCGAGTCCAGTTGCTAAAACGGGCAACCTCTCTAAGGAGGATTCATGGTAGCCACAAGAGGCAGGATGGTCGCTGAATCATCCCCGCACGTACAAAGTCGAGTTCAGCTGGAAGCACGAAAGATATAACAGGAGCTAACCTCCATTGTTAGGGGCACATGTTTGTGCTTAACTTGGATCTTCATTAAGCTTTTAAACTCTAAATTTACACAGAGTCTGGGCTCTAGCCGACAGATGTGACCCGCGCCATTGTGCGCGCTTGTTTGTGTTGGTGGATCGTTGTTGCAGTAGCACTGCTAAAACACGTGCCGGTGGGAGCTCTTGAGCGCTGTTGTTTTTGACTTTTCTCATGTAAGGAGAGCTGGTTAGCGCAGAGATATGGGCAGCAATTTAAAAAATGCTGAAAACATGTTTGCCTCTTGTTTTCGGTTCATTATGTGTAAAGCCTACGGTGGGACGGATTCAATCAGGATGTATAAGTTTATCTGAAACCAATGTGTTATTGATGTTTTGAGAAATTTAAACTGACTTTCAGTGAATTTTTTTAACTTTAACACCAGATGAACATAGTGTTTCAGACAGTATTTATTCTGCTGCCCACTGTCCACCAGCCATTCTCTAGCTACTGACCAAATGAGTTGCCATGATTTTCATTTCCCAGTCTTTGAAAATTTATAATTTTGCATCCATTTTATATAAGGCAATGGCACTCTTTTTTTTCTCAATTTGTCATGTTAAAAATGTATCATAGCTTTTGTGTTATTTTAAAGCATTTTAGTTTAAAATCCATGGTTAGGGTCCTACATCTGGCAGTGTTGAATATCGTACTCACTTTACCCTCTTTGTGCTGTAGCCGTCTTTTTATCACCAGCTGTCCAACAACAGCAATAATCTGGAAAAGAGACGTCTTTTTAAATCCTATGTTCATTCACCCGCACACTAATCTTTTTTAGTCGGTGTTTGTTAAATACTGTGTGACTCCTTGTCCTTTACAAAACAAGGACCTCCAAAGCTGCCTCTTCTTTTTTTACTTTTTAAAAAAAACGTAATTATTTTCTTTGCTTTTCTCTCTTTTCTCTCTTTTTTTTTTTTCAATACTGTGCCCTTTCACCTAGTTCTCTCAATTCCTTTCAGGGCCCAGGTAGGAATAGACTGCCTTAAACTACTGGAAATGATACTCCTAATCTTCTCAGCTTAGTATGAGTTAGCCCACATCGAAGAATAGGAAACATCCAGGAACATGTGGATCCACTGCTGTTGAGGGATTCAGTTTAAGGAAATCGATATCAGGTGTGTGTGCGCGTGTACGAGTGTGTGTGTGTGTGTGTGTGTATGTGTGTGCAGATGAACAAATTGTCATTATTATTCAGAGACGAGCATAAACCAGTGTCGTTTGACCAACAGGTTGGGGGCGCTGCATCTCACGCTGACACTTTCTAGAACAATATAAGTTCAAATGGTTTTTCTGACAATGAAGCTACTGTGGCTGACTTAAACCTGCTTGGCAACAACGGACCATAATTGAAACTAATCCGTCGTCTGCGTCATCTCATGCCCCTCTAGGTTTTGTGTTTGCACTTCTTTCATCATCTTGGCCAAGGAATCTTTGTAGCATGTGTGTTTGCATGTAAATATATACCAGTTGCTGAGGAACGATGCTTTTAGCGATAGCAGTTGCTTGAGACAGGTTTTCATTCTTCTTGAGAGGCTGAAGTGTGAAAGGTTAGCTCGCCGAGTCGGATGGGTGTTTATACTGGGATGATGATCATATGCAGCCTGCATCACTGTTGGAAGCACCACGCCCTTCGCCTAAGTTTAGCCTTGTTTATGTACACCCTTAACATTGACATTTTCTCCCCAGCTTTCAAACCTAGACTTTCTCCCAAAGTGGTGCCTGGTTTGTAGCCAAGATGAGAGTCAGTTATTGAGTCAGGTCAGAGAGAAAACGGCTCCCTAACATAATGCCTTTTACTGTTTTCCGTTCATTGATTTGTGCGCGTTTGTGTGTGTGTACGCGCGTGTGTGTGTGTGTGTGCACGGAGGGATCAGGTTCGTTTTTATTAATGCGCTGTGTGGTACGGTACAAAATTTAGAAGCTCTAGATGGAGAAAATATACACAGAAAAAAAAAAAAAACTGAGAAAAAGTGATCGATGCCAGCCGACCACCCTTTGTCAGCACTGTCCGTACCGTCGGCTGCCTTTTACTCAAAGTAATTGGTAGATATGTTGTGCCAGGTATGTGCAGAACTGTCCGCAGTTCTATTTGGATTTGGGTTTTCTCAATTGCTTGTGTCTCCTCATGAAATCCCACTCGAACATGATGTAAAGATCAGGGCTCTGTGGGGGGGCATCGGGTTTCATGTGGAGCTCCTTGTTCTTTGAGTCTGTGGCCATAAGACGGAAAGTTTGGGATTTTTCTCACATGGCTGAATAAATATACATTAGTCAGTTGAGTATAAATGTATGGTCATATTATTTTTTCCATTTCTTCCCAATACAATTTCTGCCTCAACTTTTTTGAAAATCGTAAGTCATTATTAATGAGTCGACGTTATGTCCCTAGAAAACTGAAGCTGGTTGACTTCCTGAACAAAATAGTTCTCCACCAACATGACTGTCAGGTTAAGTCCTTGATTTATTTTTGGTTAGGCTGTCTTGATCCTAGTTTTGTCACAGTGACTTTATAGAACTTGACACTGCAAACTCTACATTACCCCTCTGAACCTCTTAGAAACATAACCTTACAACTGTTTTTAAGTGGGAAACCTGTTGTATTCAGCATATATTTTGAATTAACTAATTAACTCAAACGGAAGTAAATTATATATCTGAGAGGGGGTGTAAATTTAGCTTAAACCAGGTAAATGTAACTGTGTTAAATGGTGCTTTTCATATGTGTAGCTTGATCTGGTTTCCATTTATTTGGTTTTTCAGCTATTAGAAATAGCCCTCCAGCATTGCAACAGCCTCGGCCATGCCTGGGTATGTTTTGTGTATACCAATCTCTCGGTTTGTGGTGGCTGGGTAACTGGAGGGCTTAAAGCACTGTGCATAAAAAAAACAAAAAAAAAACATTCTTCTCATTAATCAGGATCAGTAATCCCCCTACTAATGATCCACATGAGACAGCCGAGTCCACAAGCCACTTTCCCCTTCTCCATTACCCCCACCCCTGCTTTCTAGGAAAACCCGTCTCCTCGAGCAATCAGTCTTTCCTCGTACATGATTTCAAGAAGTCCGGTCACTCCGCTCCGCTTCACTTCCCTCAGGCGCACACACAGTGAGACGATGGTTATGGGGAGAGGTGGGTGCAAATGGAGCGTAAAGCTGCATTTGCATGCCACCTCTTCGCAAACACGTCTCTTTTCCCTTCACTTGGCAAAAGGAAACAAATAAGTTGGACGGCTGCTCGCATACGCATTCATCGCGTTTGGAGTCTTAAAAGAAATATGGACTTCTGTTTTAGGCATAGATCTTCACCTTTGAGGCGAAACAAACAACTTAAGCCCTTTTTACGCTGGTGACAAAAGCCGCTTAAAACTGCCAACACTTGGCTCTCGAAGATGTTTCGAAAGTGTTTAATGGACATTCAGTCCCGTGTCAAATGACTCCGCGGGAGTTATGGGGATTTGTCAGCTCCGACTTGGCACGGCTCTAATGGAAAGGCCACACTAAGGGACTGGGTCGGGGCCATAAGGAAGGGCTGACGCTGTCTTTACAGAGGGACATGTTTACTTCTCACCTGGAGCCTCTTAAGTTCACAACAACGTCCTGAGACCAAAACAGAGGCGGCTGATTCATTTGACCTTCTGTAGACAGCTGGCAGCTCACTTTCGGTTTCCCGGTTGGAAGCTAACAAAAGCGCTTCTGTCATAAAGAATAATCATGGCCAATTATCAGAGAATCTGGATGCATCAGAGAATGTGGTCCAGCACGCCCTCCTTTGCCTGTCTGCTTACAGATGCATCAGTGGAAGGTCCCCCCCCCCCGCCTCTAGGTCGTCCTGAGCTGCTTTTGACTCTGAAAGGGAGGGCTCAGTGAAAACAGACGTTTCTCCTCTTTTCAAAGGTCAAGCTTGAGTGTTATGTAGAAAGCAGCGTCCTCCTCTAGAGTTACCGCCACCATCCATCTTCAGTTGTGGAAATTCTTGCTCAGGCATCGTAACTCTGAGCGTACTACCTTTTCACTAAACTCGGCACAGAACCATTTTTGTTCTACATCACTGTCAGTTTAACCAAAGTGTGGCCCGTTATAGTGGAAAGGGCAGTTGTTTGTACAGCATGGAAACCTATATTACATCATTTCCAGAGTACAAAGGCTCTTTGTTTTCACAGATGACATTTTCTCATGGAAATGTTTGCCCCTCTTAATACTGTTACAACAACTTAAGGTATTGTGCTGTTTATTTTGGAGCGCCCTGAACATCACACTTTCCTGCTCTGTCAAAGAAACATATGAGGTGATAGAAGACACCATCACCGAGGCACTCTTGTCAGACCACACTGTCGCTATTAAGCACTTTGTCTGACGCATTCGAGAAGTGCTTTCTACCAGGCTAATCCAATTGGCTAGATTGATTAGCAGTTAAAAGCTTTGCTTCCTCTGGGCAGAGGAATCCGTTCCAAATGGTACTCAGTGGGCTACCTTTAGTTTGGCTGCCCTGTCAGATCAGTTGGTGCCAGGTCCACTTCCTGTGTAGGGTTTCATCAGGCTCGATCAATACTCGCAGACAGCTAATTGGATGAACACTGACACTCACATTTCTCCTCTCTCCACTTTATGATCCAAACTATAAGAGCCGAGTATATTTCATGCATGACTGCCCCGTTCTTTGTAGTAGATAATATTACTACAGAAATGATGGGGATGAGAACGCAGTGTTACATGACGGACAGAGGTCCAACATATAACTGTCCAAGTGCTGGACTCCAGCCTCAGAGAGAAACTCAAAGCCCTCAGTGACCACACACTAAGACTGAAATTCCTTACGCCATCCAAATTCTAATGTTTGAAGCCTCGCATGACCTTAACTCTGCTCTCTTTCTCTTCTTTATCTCAATATGTTTGGACAGTATGACCAAATATGACGTAAAGAACTACTTGGAGAAGATCTACGATGTCCCTGTTGGGGCCGTCCGCACCAGGATACAGTTTGGTGAGTTTCTCACTGCTTTCCTCAAAGCTCTCACAGAGAGCCGGTAAGATTTACAGAACTTGGAAGTTTTTTTTGTGTGTTTTTTTTCACACTAAAGCCAGAGTCCATGCCGTCCTCCCTATTTGTTAATGCTGGAATCAATTCTGACTGGATATATGTGATCAACAGATCACAAGTCACGTCATAATAAAGTCAAACATACCCAAGTAATTCTCAGAAGACACATGTAGTTTGATGTTATTTAGCATTGGAAAATGCATAAACAGAAAACAGAAGCTGTAACAATTATCAGATAATAGAAAGAGAAACAGAACAAGAAAGTTGAATCAATGGAGGTCCCATAACATTTTAGGTTTATAACAGCATAACTGTGGAATTATTCAGTCATCTTACCAATTCCCAACTATAAGCCTTGTCAAAAAGAAAAGTTTTAAGCAGAAGCCTTTAGTTTTATGAAAATATCACTGTCCTTGTATCATACACAGCAGATTTGTGAACCTGCTGGGAGGGTAGAGGATAAAAACCCTGGATGTTTTACCTTTCTTTTTTTTGGAAGAAAACATTTGTCCTACGGTATGTGGAGTTCACCGAAGGACTGTTTTCGCGAAGCATAAAGAGTCACAGATTCAGTTTTGGAGGCTGTCATGCAGCAGTGGTTATGCTTTCCAGTGGCTAGCTGCGGTGGCGGTTAGCATGCCTGGCTCCCCGTAACGCACACAGCTGCTTATCCTCCGATCTGTCGCAGCACTCCGGCCTCTATCTGCCCCGGGACACCCCGCCGCTCCCTCCACACAGCCACCCTCTATTCCCTGGCAGCTTCTGGGCCTAAAGTGCTTCGTCTCCTCGAGTCGTTTCGACCCCAAATCTCTTCTCCTGCCCCCTTTGTCAGGAGCGATTACAGGGCCACGTTTAGTGTTGCATCGTTGATTTAATAATCCTCCTGGCATTTTATGAAACAAGGAACAACTGAAGTTTGCATGTGTGAGATTCGGGGCTCCTGTCGTTTCCGGGTGATTGCAAGTTCACGGCAAAGCGCGGCGTGAGGACATTTAGGTGGCTCAAAGATGCTGATGTGCCGCCTGAAGGACCACGAGGAGCCCCCGCTACATCTGGAGGAGAGACTGAGAAGGTGTCATGGAGCGAGGGAGTGGGCGAGAGGCGCCTAGCGTAGCCTAACCTGCAGTGAGGAGAACCAATTACCATTGTTTATTAGGGTTGTGTCATTAGAGTCAAGGGGAGGAAGGAATGCCCAGTGGTGAAGTCCGTTAAAGAAAAGCTGTGTGAGTGCGATAGAGTGGGATGGAGAAGAAGGGGTGACCGGGCCTCTGGTTATCCCGAGGTGCGTCACAGAAGGTATCCCTGTCTGCGTCAGGGGTTCCACTCCATTGGCAGTGTAAAGATGGGAAGGGGCTGAGAAGAGTGAGGGGCGCAAACAATCCTTTCTTCCCTCCTTGTGCGGCAGGGGTATTTTGGAAGGAGTTGCCATGGCTACCTTTCCAGTCTGGGATTTGTAACGTGATAGCTGGCTGCCAAACCGCAATCTCAAAGTGGGAGAAATTGTGCTTGCATTTGCGAGAGTTGTATGAAAGCTCCGTCTGTATGTGTTCGAAAAAGAGCTACACAAAGGAAGAGAAGTAGGACATTAGGTCTTTTCAGGTGGCCAGTGGGGTCGTTTGTCCCGTTTTTTTGTTTATTTATTTTGATGTGTCAAGATCTCTCCTTGCTTTTCTAAGGGTTGCGGCATTTCCCTATGGATTTCCTCAACAAGCTTAAATACACGCACATGAACTCACACACATGCACTTACACTCTGTTACCTCTGTCTCCCACCCACACAGGGGCCTCCACTTACCCGTGGTGGCGTGGAGGGGTGTTTTACAACCCCGCTTAGGGCTTTCCCTGAGCAGTGGGCTGCCTGGCTAGTGATTACTAGCTATGAGTACCACACACGCACACACACACACGTATAAACATATACATCCATGCACGCAAAAATGAGTCATTACAGGGGAATGTTTCCCTTGTTTTTCATGTCATAAACTGTTACCATGGCAATAGCAGTTACTCACAGGGCCTGTTGACTTGACCACCAGGGTCTCTTTGAGATCAGTCTCAAGCAGAGACAACCTGTTTCATTCTGAGACGTTATCTGTCAGTAAAAGTAATTCTCAACGTCATAAGGTAAAGATGTGTGTCTGGAAGAGGAGTCGCACACAAAGTGAAGGTCCTCAACTGCCCAGACACACACATACACACACACACACACGTGCATATACACACTCAGAGGCACCAGGAGTCCCTTGTCTTGTAGACTTGGGGAGGTCTGACAGGAGAGTGGATGATGCAATTATCATCTCCAGCTGGGAATGAGGTTAACCTGTACTTCACTGTCAACAACAGTGAGCCCTGATTTACAAGACACACAAGTATTCTCTTTCACACAAGGGAATAAGCTAAATGAATGAAGCTGACATGATGCGTGACATTTGTTTTTTTCAGAGTTGGAAATGTGCAGGTAAATGACTGTTAAATTACTTCTACCAGCCAGTTGACTGTTTATTGTCACTCCAGCTGGATGTCACTCACAATTGGTCTGTTCTTTAAGTAAACTGTACTCCTTTGTGTTTTTGTTTTTTTCAGGATCAAACAAAAAGAGGAACCACCTCTACCAGAAAGTTAAGAAGCCAGACTACAAAGTTGCCTATGTTCAACTGGTGAGATGACAAAAAAAACACAGAATAAACACACACATACACACTCTTACACTGATGCACGCTGCGACTTCGGTAGGGCCACCAACCATTGAGCACTTTCAACGTTTGCCATTAGTCCTGCTAGAGATTTCATGAAAAATATCTCATAACATGTTCTAATTGACTAGCCGGGTTAGGTATACCTGTGCTTAACACGCAGATCAGCAGGAAATGTAACTTTTCCTCTGGCTTAAGCCTATTAAAACAGTTTGATGTTATGGAGAACTCCAACTGGCTGCTTACACTCATTTTAATTGCCCCAAAGTTACAGGCGTAGCAGTTATCAGCTCTAGAAAAACAGGATGTTTCACTTTCATCTGAGGGCGCTGCGTTCACTGCCGTCTGTGGCTCGCTGTGTGTAAGAGAGAGGCTGTGGCGCGTCTGACAATGCTGAAGCCAGCACTATGCAGTTTTTCTCCAACTCGTTTGGCTCAAGTTTAGATGTCGTGTTCAATAGTAAAACAAGTAATACACGCAGAAGGAAAATGTATGCAATTTGTTCTGGAAACAATATCCGAGTTAAATCTGGAAGATGACACAATATGTAGCATTCACATCCAAGAAGACGTGTCTTTTAAACATTCATGTCTGCGATATGATTTGGTCAAAGTACTCCAGAAATACGATATCGTAAGACAGTAAGATCTGCCTGGGAGCTCACACTACAATTTAAAGAACTATGTAAAGGCTGATAGTTAAAACAAGCACTGAGGAGTGTCGACTTCCAGCTTTCGAGGTACAACAAAGGCAGCGCGACTTGATATCTTCTTCTGAAGATCGACTTTATCCCCTACATCTGAAAGCTCTGGAAGATATTTTTAGATCTGCAAAGCCTCAAAAAAGGCTGACAGAATTGTGTTATCTCAGTTTTTTTCATTTTTATTTCTTTTTTTCCTGTGAGACATTAATAAATCCTCTGATAGAAAAAATATGATGCCCCCTACCCATACTGTTAATCAAAAGCTGTGCATTCTGTATACATTCATACATTGTTTCCAAGTGTCTTCCTATTGGTTTGTTTTGTGGGACAGCTTATCATACTTGCTCCTGTCTAATACACATTGGGAGGCAGAGATCTCTCCCGGACGTCCGTCAGTGCCTTCTTTTTTGATGAAATTCATATTCATATGTTTGTTTAGCCCTTAAATGTCAGGTCATGTCCTACTTTGGATGTTGACAGTCTTTTACGATATCCAAACAAGCAGTTGTCATTTTGGAAGCAAATATTTCCCACTCACTCACCTATACACATATAGAAGTTTAACAAACATGTTTGGGCACTTAAAGAGTCACATATCTGTACTTTGCATCTGTCTCCATGTGGTGCCTGCACCCTGGCTCCCCTTTTGAAAGCAGCTAGCTGGTTCTAGTCGGGCTGGTGGGGGAAGGGGGGGGTTCTTTGGTCACATGCCAGACTTATTACAGAAAATATTGAGATATGGTTATCATTTGGCACGTATCTCCTTTTTGGGTCTGCTCATTATGCCCCAGATTTAAGAGCGAACATTTATGCGCTAGTGGCCCACCGACTCCGGCTCCTTCTTTGCGTCACAGTAGTTGCCTTCACATCTGTTTCTGAGGTGAGCTCTGTGTCAAGAGGGCCCATTCCTCCACATTTTGTGAGAGGTCAAAGCGTGTCAATCTTTTAAATCACACAAATGCCTCCCCAAAACATCAAATAACTCACTGTTCTAAGTGCTCTTGATGCAAAAGTGAAAAAACAAGAGACCTTTGTTTTGGTCCTGCCGTTTTGATCTCATCCAGATAAATCAACAGCGGTGCAGACACTTGTTTACGCTGCACTGCCCACCCAACTGGGGGCCATCAATCTTGAAATGGATGAATAATGAAAACTGTCTAAACACGACAATTTGAAGGAGGATACATAATTGAACCGACCATAAATCTTTTAAAGAGGAGACTTCCTCTTTTCTAACACCAAGGAAGCGGCCGGTGATTGTGTGCGCGCGCTTCCATTTCCCAGCCGCGCCGGTGCGGGTCTCGTCTTATTAGAGGCGCACAACAGCCATAGATGTGAGGACGCGGAGCTACACACGCACAGACCACACACCTGAGACGTGCGCATCGCTCATTCATGTCGAACCCCTGGAGGATTGATGTTTTTCATTGTGTTTCATCTGCTCTCGAGTTGCCATCAGGCCACAAGTTTCTCCAGTCATGCTTATTTAACGACGAACAGCAGGCAGCCATGCTGAGATGCAGGCTCTTTGTGCTTGAAATGGCTCGATGTAAAACCGAATATCCGGCCTATTTCCCTGGCAGGTTTTCAAAAAAACATGCTCCCTCAACTCCCTTTCCTACCTCACTCTCTCTTATGTATACTCACACACAGAGCCCCAGAAAACCCTCCTTTCTTTCGCAGCGGTCGGGAGAAAACAAGATTGTTCCTAATTGACTCCACATGTGGGAGAGTGTTCTGTGGGTAGATGCTCACACTGCGGTCCCCCCCCACCCCCCCCTCCACAGCCCCCCCTCCTGCTCCCCGCTCCCTCCATCAGCTAATATTGCAGCAGTCATACGTTTGTGCGTGCTCTCTCTCTCTCTCTCTCTCTCTCTCTTTCTCTCTCGCTCCCTGTGGTTGGGGGGAGGCCTCCCGTTAGCAGGGTTCCGTGACGGCCATTTTCCTCAGGCTGAAGGGGGACCCCAGTATCAAGGGAAGAGATAGCGTCTTCATGTGTGAAATGTATTCTGTGTGTGGGAAAGTGTGTCTAAGTGTGTGAGGGGGGCTGAAAGGGGGTAAGCAGGGGAGGTGACTAAGGCCACGATGGAGTCATGCCAGAAGAGGGAGGTACAGAGATGGGGCAAAGCAATCAAGGGGAGAAGGAAGAGGCTTGAACGTGTGAGACGAGGTGGTGGTGTCGGGGTGACAAAAACAGCCCGAGCAAACTGAAAAGTCTCGAGTCCGTCCCCGTTGCTTTTCGGTGTCTGACTGCCTTTCAGTAGGACTGGCGTGTTTAAACTCAGACTTCTTTTATGCGCCGCTGTGCGCCGGGTAACACTTGGTTCAGATTTTCGCAGTCAACTCATATTGTTCCATCTGTTTGATGCTGTAAAGGGTGGATGCTGGAAAATCTGATTCTGGGTTGCACTTTTTGACCTCAGTTGTAGACATTACTTCATATACAGTTGGTGTAATTAGATTTAGTGTCTGGTTCACAGCACTCTTGGGCAACAACATTGTCATCAGGTGTTTTAAGAGCTCTGGTATTTAAAAGATAACAGTGTCCTTTTTTATTATCAGGAAAAGTTTTTGTTTTTTTTTCCCCCCATGACGCCTCTTTCAAACTTGAAATGAAGATATAGCCTCTATCCGAGGCAGCTTTTTTGCTGCCAGTATGTCAGGCCCTGTGTTTTCCCATCAGCACATCTCACAGCTGATGTTTGCTCTGCTGCCTTTTCTAGTGTGAAATTGCTCGCATTTAAAAACCTTCTGTAAATCCAGTCTGGTGCTGCTCATGCAGGAGAAAACACGTCACTTCCCAGATTATACTCATTTTTGAATGTTTTCAGCAGTGCTGTAACGTCACCAGCCAAACATTTACAGTGAAGCACTCCCAAACTGGCATGCAAATGAAAAGGTTACAGTGAGTTTTGGTGGAGGTGGAGGTTCTTTTTTTTCCTCTTCAAAGTGGAAGCTCAAAGGCAAGCCAGCTTTTTACTTACTCAGAGTAAAAAAAGAGGTGTATGTGACAATTTCCATCATTAAACCTTTTGAAAACATCTCTTTAAATGTCCACTATGTCATTTTCGCAGAACCAGACCGTTTTGGTAATGTGTAGATTTCTTTTTTCTTTATTTGAGCTTGTTTTGGTTTTTAGTGGGTGCCGGGATCACAGTGAGAGATCCTCTGCTGCAGGTGCATATTCCCCAAAGTGATGCCAGGATGGAACACAAAGCCGTGAGATGATTAAAATAAAACTGAACAGTTTAAATGGCTGTTTTTTGCTTAGTGTAGGTTCAATAGCACGCAAGACTTTCGCCCTCTCCCTGATAATAAATGTTTCGATTTTTCTGTAGTGTTTGCAAGAGCATGTGAATAATTAAAGCAAGCAGAAAATAGTTGATAACAGGAAGTGTTTTTTACCACACGCTGCCGCTTTTGAAAATCTGCTCCTTTAACCTGGCCTCACTCTGTTAATTTTTTGGGATTATTTCTATATAGCTCGCTGGGTATTCTCTGCGAGAATTCCGCAGTGCTTGTTGCGGATATTTGTGTTGCCACATGCAGCCCTTCTGAGGCTAAAAAAACACATCTTCGGGCAGCAGTGCATTTGTAAAAACAGCCATGAAAAGGTCACAGCATCCCATCAACAGTTTTTCTAGGGCTGGTCTGATTGTTAATCTGATAATGTGCTGTATTCGGCAAAGCTTAATGGAGTATGAACAATGACTTTCTCTTTATTCATTATATTTCTTTCACTCGCAGATCCATGTAAATTCAAAACTAATATAGAATTTTCGGTAATTTTGAAGATAAAGTGGCAGCCAGTTTTAGTTTTCCTACAGCAAACGGTTGCAAGCAAACTTTAGGTTTGGTTTTTCTTTTACATACTTTTAATAACCAGGGTATTAATAACAAAAATCTAAAATTAGAATAACCACATGATGCAATATGCCTGTTTTATAGATTAGCCATGCCATCATGTCATAGGCGACTGCATGATGTCAAACAAAGTTTGGAGCCATATCTGATGCCTGGTTCAGTTTGGGAAAGCTCCATTGCTGTTTGTGCTTTGAAAAAAAAAAGGTGATAATTACCATGGTGGGAGGAAAAATGTATTCGCTGAGTTAAGAAAGTTGCCATGATTTGTGTCCTTGAGTTGTTTTTGTTCCTCGTGAAATGTCCAGACATTTGTGATTTGACCACACTGGAATAAAATCCATAAACGTTGATGCGTCAAACAAATTGACATTGAACCCTCCTTTTTTCCCTTTCTTCT